AATTAAAAGAATTAAAATAACCGGAACATGTAGGGATTGAATAACGTTGAGTGATCAAACCATTGATTACCTTTTCAGAGTTCACGTCCATGAATAAAATTATTTTGATTATAAACAGCGCATCGATTAATACGTTGTTTAAAAGTTTGTTCAAAAATGAGGTGAGTAAATGGTGCGTTTAAACAAAGGGTTGACTTTTTTGTTTTTCACGTTTAAGTGTAGTGTTGTCTTAAATCTGTTAGGGTAGAGATCATCCGTCATTATGATAAAATAAAAACACGAAACCCACACAAAAAAGTTTAGATGTCTTAAAATTATTTACGACAAAGTAGTTGAGTGGTCATCATTACGAACTTAGTTGAGCAGATAACAGTAAGCTTCAAATGCCTCAATTAGTAGCTCCGATCCCTGACAAAGTACCCACTTTTCTCTATGTCATGTTTATAATACTTAATTACTGAGTTCAAACGATCACATTTCCGTGGAATCCGACTCATGTCAACTTCAGTTTATAAGATCAGAATAATGTATGAAGAATTTCAGAAAACTGCCCCTTACTCTACAGGTCGGCTATAAAATATTAAGGAGATTTGTTCAAACTATATTGTTTTTCCTTCTTCTTTCGGAAAGAATCCTCGATTTTTAGTGAAATGTATGTTATTAGTCTGACTTACTACAAGACTGAGATTTGGTCAGTCAAACTATCCTTGTGATCAAAATATAGCGTACAAGTGTAAATGCCATTAATTTGCTGTTTGATGATACTTTTCACCAAAAAGTGTTTCACAAACAAAGTATCCACTGTCACTGATCACGGTGCGGTGGACACACCATGTGTCTGTACTGTCGCTGAAACCTTACCGATACAGGAATCCAGTGTCGTTCGGACTTATGAAGATCTCAATTAAATGTTCTTCCAAAACAAAAATATTCTTCTTCGGAACATTTTTTATCATTACGCCTAGAAACTGATTGGGCTGAATGGTAGACGGTTAGTATTCCGGCTAATTTTCGAACTGTAACAACTGTGACGAACCGTTTAGTGTCAGGTAACACGGGAAAATAAGTATTTTTGAAAGCATTCAACGTCACAGTCAACCTTCATTTCGATGTAGTCAGCAATAAAATTAACATCAGGTCACGATATGCTTGTGTGTGAGAGGCTTACTACGGCTTGGCATACAGTTAGTAACCCCACTTTGTAAAAGGAATACGCAGATAAAAATGCTAACTAAAAAATCATTTCAGTCATTTGATCGTTGCTCTAAGTCTCTATGGAAATGAACTTTGACACACCATTGAGAAACCTGAAATCCTTCGACTGCCAAGAAGTTGGTAGTTTTTCTGAAAACTACGGCAATAATTGATACACGTGTGTGGGATCCCTGAATGAAGTGAGAGGTTAGGAGAACCATTCAACAGTCACATTGACCTCATTCAAAGAACCAAAAAGGGTTCTTCAAAGTTGAAAGTTCTCTCCTGAGTCATTAAAGTACCCTTCATTAAAAAGAAAAATGGATACAATGTATATTGTCCATTACAACACACTCACGAACAACAGTAGATGACATTATTATGATAATTTTCACGGTGCGCTACAACCCATCGTCTAGAAATTACTGGACAAAAGCCTGATCATCCTTATAGTGAACCCAAACGTTGAAGTCGTGGAAGAAAAACCCGGGTATTCAGGGACTAGCTAATCCAAGTCTTTTCAACATGGTTACACGTAATGGCATTTTTCTCTCAAAGAATGGATAAACTGATTCAACTAAACTGCAATACAGAAAGCCTTATGAATGGAGAACTTGGAAGTTTCATCGAAGAGATGAGAACCAAGAGCGGAGCATGAAGTTATCATCTGCTGATAGCCAAGGTAGAACGAAAGCTGAAAAGTATTGAACTACTGAAAAAAACAACTCAATGTAGCATTGCTTGGAGTTGCTAACAGACACAAATACTTCGAGATATTTCTCAGTTATAAGTTCCAAGTCTTACAATTTCGACTGGAACACATGAAAGGAAATGGAAGAAAGAATAGCTTTAGCTTACCAAAAAGCAACGGGTAGCAGGAGTAGTGGGACAAACATTGGATTACTGCGGATAGTCCTTTGCGCGCAGGAATTTCAGATGGGGCATACTACTCACAGCACCACACGAAGTTCTTGAGTGTGTTGTTGAAGTGACCTCCACATTTAAGAAAAACCGCAAAATACAATGACAACTTGGTCACTAATGAACAATTTGGACTGGTTAAATGTCATGGTTCTGCTATCATGAAGACACCAGGTGTGGTAGTAACTTTTGTTGTAGAAGGCCTCAAGATTCGCAAGGAAAAACGCGAATGCCCGAAAAATAGCTCAGTGAGCAGCGAACAAGTCGCATTTGATGGCAGAGCTCTGGAATTTGTGACTTTTTCTCTACACCTATCCATTGTTGAGAAACATATAGGATCTGATGCAAAAGTCAAGACACAGATTGACAAAGCGGAGTGATACGTTCCTACAATCCAATAATATTACACCAAGAACTGGTTAACCACAGTGTTAACGAAGTGTTTGAATTTGTGGATTCAATAAAAAATAGGAATATAAATGTTAAACCGTGCTATCACTAGACATAGCATCCTTGTTCACTAACATCCCTGATTGAAACTATCGATTACATATGTGTACAAGTGCTAGAAAAGAAAACAGGGATACCGATTCCAATAAATAAAATGAAAGAACTGTTGAAATTTACTGTGAATATCTACTTTAAGTTTAACAATGTATTTTACAGACAAGTAGATGGAGTAGAAATGGGATCACCACTAAACCCGATCCTTGCTGATATTTTTCTGGCCAAACTGAAAAATGGACCGTTAAAAGACACCCTAAGTAAGCTAGACTACTACTGTCGATACATAGATGACACACTAATCGTATGTGACGAAATAGTCGGCAAACAGATGTTGGATTTTTTCAATAACGTCCACCCAGCTATTAATTTCACCAGCGAGGAAGAGAAAAACAATAGTATAGCTTTCCTCGACGTCCTACTTTCTAGAAGGAGAGATGGTTCCATAAAGCGAAATATATTTAGAAAGAATACATGGACGGGTCAGTATACCCATTTCCAAAGCTTCACTCCTCATAAGTATAAAATGAATTTAGTTAAATGTCTCAGCCACAGAATCAAGCTATTATGTTCTGAGGACGATGTTGAGAGTGAAATAGATATGCTAAAAAATACATTGCGAAGGAATGACTACCCATATAAGTTCATTGAAAAATACCTAGTAGAAAACACTGTTAAAATAAGAAGAAATTGTGACACAGCGAGTTAAAAAACCTTGTATCTGAAACTGAACTTCAAAGCTGACATAGCGGGGGATATCCTAACACGCCAACTGAAAAGATCGGTTGAAAGGACGTTTTACGCCCTCAAGCTACACATTACTTTCTCAACTAAACCAGTACTTACACAATTAATCAAGGATAAGTTACCGAAGATGGGCTCTTCCACGTGTGTATACCAATTCAACTGCTCCTGTGGAGCTAGTTACATAGGCCGTACTCAGAAGGCTTTATCCTTGCGTATTCGTGAACATGTACCAGTACGGTTAGGAAAAGAAGTCACTAAATCCATTAACAGCACTATCCTTTCTCACTTGGTAAATAGTGAACATCATATCAAAACAGAGAATGCCTTCTCTGTTTTATATCAAGTTCCGAAAAATCTATCTCAAAGAGCTCGATGACGATTACTTTACATAGCCGAAGCCATCTGAATCAACTCCAGAAAACCAAACTTATGCATCCAGAAAAGGTAAATCCAGCCACTATGCTTACCTTGGCCTACAACTGGATCACCGGATTCCTAAACTACATATTATAAACCTCCCCCCGTTTTTTTTCTTCCTTTTTTTGTTGATCACCTCTATCTTAATCTTCACATCCATCATTCCAATTTCTTTATCGTAATAACCTTGATAACACCCTTTTTATTACGTATTATATTCACACAATAATATTATTATTACCATTACTATTTATCATTATTATCTCAATTAACATAATGAAATTCTCCTACTATGCACTTTATTCACACAACTTTTTGCATTTTCATTTTTCCTAAATTACTATTATATCGATTATTACTAGACACTTGAGTACCAATCACTTTGACCTTTATTAAATGACCTTTCTAATTAACAAACAACACAATTTTTAGGTATATATATCGTACCAGATGCATACGTTCACCATTTTTAACATATAACATTGTCAAATTAATTAACACATGCCTCATTTTGGACTTTGTAAAATATTATAATTATGGACTTATCACTGTAGAGCCTGATGATAAAGTTATTGAAAACAATTGTTCATTTTTGAATTATCTATGGTGATCTTTAAACTGCCAAGATTATTTGAAATTTAAAAAGACGATCATTCAGGACTGTAGTGAAAATTATCGACAATGACGTTGAAAAGCCTATAAGTAGGAAAATCACCATCCCTATCATCAGGAAATACAGACTTTTGTGATAGGCTGTCTAAACAAGCATCTTTCAGCGCGAAACTATAATCACTAGCCTACTATGGTAGAAAAATGAAAACACCTGAAGCTGAAAACTGACGATAGCAAATTGTTGCAACAAATCATTCTAGTAGGCTGCTAGTTTGTGCAAAATATAATGTATGATCAGACTGCAGCAGAGAGGTTACCCGGATAGGATGGTACATACGGGGTTCAACAAATTAGATTTGGAATTAAGGACTGAATAGCGACTATAGAGAATACATTTTATAACTAGCGTATGTAACTCGGCGTCTAGATTTCTAACGTTTGTATAAATAGTATTGACTTAGGTGGGACAATAGAGGTAGCCGTTCACAGTAGGTTCTCCAAGTTGCGTGTATTATTGATTTGACCGAACCACCAGCTGCATTGGTCAAGTTACATAGTGTGGCGGTGAAAACCTGTTAGAAATGCCTATCTGGAGTACCCGAATAATGAGATGTGATGCACAGCAGTGGCTAAGAATGCAGGTATTGCAATAATGACTAAAACACCAGTTATTTGTCTCTGTTGTCGATGATTTTTCATCATTCACTCAATACCCGATGATTGATTTTCTAATGTATGCGTAAATCCTTCTTGAATGATGACTTCTGTCTGAATGAAATTATAGATCAGAGGGGGTTTTGTGGAGAAGTTAGTATTTTTTTCATAGTTGACATCATGAGTCAACTGAAGCTAGACCACCAAGGAAAACCTGGAAGCACTGGACGATCGTTTCAACCTATTATGGGACTCCTCAACAGTGCGCATCACTGATCCCGCTCTCGCGAGATTCGGACACAGGACCTACCAGTCTCAAGCCAAAGCCCTTAAACGATTCTCCACGAAATCCCCTCTGATCCAAAATCATATGCTCACTAATGACTGACTGTAAGGGATGTTTCCTTGAGTTCTAGTGGGAAGCAGTGACAAGTGGAGTTATACCAAGTCTGTTGTAGAGATGTCAACTCACTGAAGACAATTGGTGAACGGTTCCTCAACTTCGTGGATTGGTTGAAGTTAGAAGTTAACACCGTTGAATGCCGGCTCAGTGGTCTATCGGTTAAGTGCTCTGGCTCGAGAGCGGTGGGTCCTGTGTTCGAATCTCGCGAGTGCGGGATCGTGGATGCGCACTGCTGAGGAGCCCCGTAATAGAGTGAAATGGCCAACCAGTGCTGTCTAAGAAGCTGCCGGAAAGAACTTTCGTGTCAGTTGGTTAGGAGCTCAGGGAATTCTGCAAATTTGAGAAGAGCTGTATGGACATACCCTCATCAAAGGTTCGTCGACCAATGACCTCTCGCATTTGCAGCAACATTTCTGCTGCTTAATCATGTTGTAGCTGGGTGTTATAAAAGAGCTGGTCTAAACCTTATCCGTCGGTTAGATCTCTACGTTTGAGAATAGTCTTGTAAGGTTCCGCAACATCAATAGTAAACATACTAGGGGTGACGTATCTGTTGAAGCCACACAGTAGTGACTTAACGGCCGCAAACAGCTAAGTACGTGGGTTTGATGCTCCATGCTTGTGGATATCAGCTTCTGTGTGGCAGAACCAGGCTTCAATATTATCGGGTCAAAATGAAATAAGCTGAAATGAATGAAGTGGGTTTTACTTGTAAATAACTTAGGAGCTTGTTCCGCCATGGTAAGTGTGAGGTGTGTCGATGAACGAGAAGAAAGATATCAGAAAATATTGAAAAAGTATCATCATATGTGAAAAGTTAACATTAAAAAAATAATATATAATGTCCAGTAAAACTAGTGCGATCGGCATCAAAAGTTAAGGACTTACGGAGTTGTTGATTTCGGAGTATTATTTACTGCTAAAGTGTCCTTTTTGGGGTGCTTTGGCTCATAATACACCAAATGAGCGCTCAGGTTCACTCATGAGAGTCCTGTTGAATCGCAAGTGAAGCTCTCTTCAATATACTTTGTATGAGCAGGTTGAAATATCTGAAAATATTGTTCTGACGGAAATTTCGTAGCTTCACCAACGTTGTTAGTTGATCCATTATGACTTAATATGTTTGTGAAGTATTCATACGAAAGCGCAGGACACTTTACATTTCTTGAAAGTTGAAACAAAACTTTAAACATCGAGAATGTTTGACCCAATGACCTCACCCGTTTCAAGGTCTTCTGAAGGTAAAAAGAGTTCGGGCAGTACAAGGGTCTCGATTTTGGTTTTTTTATATTGCTGACTTCCTAATTTATAACCATTTGGTCACCTACCCGCCATTCTCACACCAGGTATGATAGCAGACGTGATTCTTAAGGTTATCTGCTTGTACTGTAATATACACCAGCAATGATAAGGAGGCCTGAGCATATGTCCAATATTGGACTTATGGTTCAAAAGAGAGTATATAGGGATACTAGGATTTAAGGTCAAGTGGAAAATTAAGAATGAGTTCATCTGTGTTGCTGGGAAAAGCTTGTGAGGTTTGCCGCCCAAAAGTCTGGAGATCATGAAGAAATTGGGCTCCCTATAAAGTGAATAATAAGAGGACATATATAAATAATGTAGTCTTAACTCTTTTTTTCGTACTCCGTTTATGTTTGGCATCACTATTACCCTCTTTAGCTGTTTTGAAGTTCAAGAGTAATTTCGACTTTGGTGGTGCTTCCACTAATTTCAGAATAGTTAGAGGTCTCTACCTGTCAGTGTGTCAAAATTATTGACTACTCGTTCAAGAGTTCCTTGACAACTTCCTGCGAGTCTCCTACTAAGTGATACGAGTTTAAGAATATCCATACCCATTTCATATCCTTTCCCGATATAGCTCACTTCAATAGCCATCGTCTTCATTTCCCCACCTCTTACCTTTAATTTCACTATCTTCTATAGTCTCTTTTTCACACACGCTGAAAATATTGTCCGGAGTATATAAAATGCAGTGTATGGAATAAATGTCTTTTAAGACTATCGTTCTATTGGTTTCAAGTGCAATCTAGATAGTACACGTGGGTGAGAGTTCAAGTAGTAACATTATTTTCATCTGATGAACTACTTGTGTAGTGCATTAATCAAGTGTTCATGCAATTGCACTATTTCTAAAACAAATATATGGTCAAATATCTTTTTTTTTCTCCAAACCATAGTATTATAGAACCACTCAGAAGGATTTCGACGATCCAAGTGAAAACATCCATTCCATCAACTACCTTCCTGAGATTCCGGTAGATAACTCCATCATGAAAATCTGAGCTTTTCAAAATTCGGGAAAATTATAGCTTCGTTGCTTAACTCTTTTGAGTAAAATGCAATCTCGAAGTCGTCCTCAAAGCAACCTCAAAAGTAACTGACTTTTTTTTTATAACGAGTTAAGACTTTGGTCTAGATGAATCGCGAAATAGGTTTCAAATAGAACTGGAATTTGTCCAATGTCTTGCTAATCCTAGCTATCTAAATTGTTTGTTCATATTTTCTTATTCACTTCTAGTTCTTGCACAGCAAGGTTGGTTTGAAAAGCCGAATTTCATAAAGTACTTGAAGTATTTACTATATTGGAAGGACCCTGCATATTCAAGGTATCTTATGTAAGTTAGTCAACTCAAATTTGACTAAAATACCATATTTTCACTATTATATATAGGGCTAAATTAGAAATACAATCTTCTTAAACGTTGTCATGACTAAAAGTGTATCCTCACTACCTTATGTATTGTTTATTTATTTTGACACAAATATTGGTACAAAGGGGCACCAAATACACATGTGCCACATAAGTCACTTGATTTGTGTGTGGGCTATGGTACTGTCGGGGTGCCCAGACAGAAGAAGGTGGTTTTCTTAGGGGACCAGACCCGGAGTCTTTGACTTGAAGGTCTGATCCATAAGGCAGTGGAGCAACTTTAGGAGATGCAGTCCATGGTAGCCGGTAAACAACGATTAGTTCACATCATTTGTTTCTTCAGAATCCTGGAGCTCATGTGCACCATTGGTTTGGAATCAGGGTTTTCCAACTCTCCTAGGTAGACTTTCCGTGTCCACCAACCCGATTAAAGCGCCGGACAATCGTTTTTCGTCTTTTTATTTTCTTAACACCGCTGTCACGAGAAGGCAGATTAGTACATCCCTGTTATTGGCTTTATAGGCGTGGTCATGTGAGAGGAGGGAGAGCTGACTCTCCCCACCCCCTGCCGTATCAAGGCATTTGAGGCTATGTATTGGCTAATCATTTACTTCGGTCACCCATCTGTTGGTTCACCATTTCTCCATATATGTAAACATTTATTCTCCAAGTGGGACCTTTTTCGGAGCCACAAGCTTTTTTAGTGTGTTATGAGTGTGACGAACGCCTGTAGCTCCTCTGGGGGTTACTGCCGGTCCCAAGCCCGGGTAACTGAGGAGGGTTGGGCATGGGGTTAGCGACCCCATCCCGTAGAAAATCAACTCGCTAAAAAAACGCTAACCAGAAAAAATCATTCAAACCATTTAAACTCTGCCCTGGGAGTAGAAGGAATAATTGTGACGTCTCATGATGAAAGCCGAGTTCCTTCGGAAGTCATGAGGCCGATGCACCTTCTTACAACCAGAGCAACAATTTTTATAGGTACATGGAATGTCCGGACAATGTGGGAGACCGGAAGAGTTCCAAATTGCTGCAGAAATGAGAAAATACAACCTGGAGGTGCTTGGAATCAGTGAAACGCATTGGACGCAGGTTGGACAACAACAACTGTCTTCAGGAGAACTTCTGTTATACTCCGGTCATGAAGAAGAAAACGCCCCACATACACAAGGAGTTGCATTGATGCTGCCCAGAAAAGCACAAAATGCACTTATAGGATGGGAATCTCATGGACCAAGGATCATCAAAGCCTCCTTCAAAACAAAGAAGAAAAACAAAAAGAAGAAACTTGGCATTACAATGAACGTCATCCAATGCTATGCGCCTACCAATGACTACGATGAAGACGCTAAAGACCAATTCTACGATAGGCTGCAGTCGATCTTCCAGAAGTGCCCAACCAAAGACCTGACCATTCTGATGGGAGATCTCAATGCCAAGGTTGGAAAGGACAACAGTGGATACGAAGACGTCATGGGACAACATGGACTGGGAGAAAGGAACGAAAATGGCGAGAGATTTGCAAACCTATGTGCCTTCAATAAACTGGTCATAGGTGGAACCATATTCCCACACAAAAACATACACAAAGCCACTTGGATGTCACCGGATCACACTACACAGAATCAAATCGACCATATCTGCATCAACAAAAAGTTCAGGAGGACGATGGAGGATGTGAGAACCAGAAGAGGAGCTGATATAGCATCCGATCATCATTTCCTGGTCGCCAAGATGAAACTAAAACTCAAGAAGCACTGGACAACGGTGCGGACAACATCACAAAAGTTTAATACGGCCTTTTTCGAGATGCTGACAAACTCAACAAATTCAACATAGCCTTCAGCAACAGGTTCCAGGCCTTTCATGATCTACTCAATGGAGAGGGAACTACCATGGAGAGCAACTGGAAAGGTATCAAGGAGGCAATCGTTTCAACATGTCAGGAGGTTCTGGGCCAAAAGAAGCACCATCACAAGGAATGGATCACTGTTGGTACACTGGATAAAATTGAAGAAAGAAGAAACAAGAAGGCAGCAATCAATATCAGCCGAACCAGAGCGGAAAAAGCCAAGGCACAAGCCGAATACACAGAGGCAAACAAGCAAGTGAAGAGGAGCATCAGAACCGACAAACGTAAATATGTGGAAGATTTAGCAACGACAGCGGAAAAGGCTGCAAGAGAGGGAAACATGAGACAACTGTATGATACAACAAAGAAACTTGCTGGAAATTACCGTAAACCAGAAAGACCAGTGAAAAGCAAGGAGGGCAAAGTAATCACCGACATTGAAGAACAACGAAACAGGTGGGTAGAACACTTCAAAGAACTCTTAAATCGACCAGCTCCACTGAACCCACCCAACATCGAAGCAGCACCCACAGACCTCCCAATCGATGTTGGCCCACCAACAATTGAAGAGATCAGCATGGCCATTAGACAAATCAAGAGCGGCAAAGCAGCGGGACCAGACAACATCCCGGCAGAGGCACTGAAAGCAAATGTAGCAGCAACTGCCAAGATACTACACATCCTCTTCAGTAAGATTTGGGACGAAGAACAAGTACCAACAGACTGGAAAAAAGGACTTCTGATCAAGATACCAAAGAAAGGTGATCTCAGCAAGTGCGACAACTACAGGGGCATCACTCTCCTCTCAATACCAGGGAAAGTCTTCAACAGGGTATTGTTAAACAGGATGAAGGATTCCGTGGATGCCCAACTTCGAGATCAACAAGCTGGATTTCGTAAGGATAGATCGTGCACAGATCAAATCGCAACTCTACGTATTATTGTGGAACAGTCAATCGAATGGAATTCATCACTCTACATCAACTTCATTGACTACGAGAAGGCATTTGATGGCGTGGACAGGACGAGACTATGGAGGCTTCTTCGACACTACGGCGTGCCTGAGAAGATAGTAAATATCATACGGAACGCCTATGATGGACTAAACTGCCAAATCGTCCACGGAGGACAACTCACCGACTCGTTTGAAGTAAAGACTGGTGTTAGGCAAGTTTGCTTACTCTCACCCTTTCTCTTTCTCTTGGTAATCGACTGGATTATGAAGACGTCAACATCTGGAGGAAAGCACGGGATACAGTGGACAGGCAGGATGCAGTTGGACGATTTAGACTTCGCGGATGATCTGGCTCTTCTATCACAAACGCAACAACAAATGCAGGAGAAAACGACCAGTGTAGCAGCAGTAGGTCTCAATATAAACAAAGGGAAAAGCAAGACTCTCCGATACAACACAATATGCACCAATCAAATTACACTTGACGAAGAAGCTTTGGAGGATGTGGAAACCTTTACATATCTGGGCAGCATCATTGATGAACACGGTGGATCAGATGTAGATGTGAGGGCGAGGATCGGCAAAACAAGAGCAGCATACTTACAACTGAAAAACATCTGGAGCTCAAAACAATTGTCAACCAACACCAAGGTTAGAATTTTCAATACAAATGTGAAGACAGTTCTACTGTATGGGGCGGAGACGTGGAGAACTACGAAAGCCATTATCCAGAAGATACAAGTGTTTATCAACAGCTGTCTACGCAAGATACTTCGGATCCGATGGCCAGACACTATCAGCAACAAGTTACTGTGGGAGAGAACAAACCAGATTCCAGCAGAGGAAGAAATCAGGAAGAAGCGTTGGAAGTGGATAGGACACACTTTGAGGAAGCCACCCAATTGTGTCACAAGACAAGCCCTCGCATAGAATCCTGGAGGTCAAAGGAGAAGAGGAAGACCAAAGAACACATTACGCCGAGAAATAGAGACAGACATGAGGAGAATGAACAAGAACTGGATAGAACTAAAAAAGAAGGCCCAGGACAGAGTGGGTTGGAGAATGCTGGTCGGCGGCCTATGCTCCATTGGGAGTAACAGGCGAAAGTAAGTAAGTATGAGTGTGACGAATGCTTATGTTTGCTCTTCTATGGGCGAACCACTACTCGAACTAGCTTGGTTTCTATATTTAAATACAGTGCTATGTGCATCTAATCTGTTTACATAAATCATCCTAAGGTGATAAATTTATTGACTAGCTTAATATAAGATGGGCTTAGCACACATAAGAAACTTGTGAGAATCTAAAAACGTACTTCAGAAAAATCATCAGTTTGGTACAAAAATATGTTATTGGTAAAATCTTTTTGTATTTAATACAAGTTTCAAACGCTGAAGATTTTGAGTCTAAAGGGTTTTGAGGAAAGGTCAAATGTCGTACGGAGCAACAGTCTTAATAAAGAAACATTTAAGGAACTCAGTATGTTTTTGATAAACCAGTTTTCAGCAGTGATGACTTACTGAAACGGTGTCACGTAAATGTTTCTATAGATAACCGTATGAACTGACAGGTCTATCAGTAATAATTTTGGTCTGAAGTCTCACTGTGCTACCAGTAAATAGGGCGACTATAGTGTATGGTAAACCGTTTTTTAACCACGTAAAATATATTCCTCTCATTTTTAGCTATCCGTACTGTCTTCACTTGCTTGATCTTTTGCAACATGCGGAATTTCGCTCTGCTCTTGCGCGAGGTCAGATATGTCGAATGATCGATGATCAAATTCTTCTTCATTGGCAGCACTATATGCGTAAGCGTGCAGCTCTTATAGCTAAACACGTTGAAGAGACGATACAACCCACCTAACTTTACCTTCAAGTTATGGAATGTATTAAATTCATAAATTGATTTTAATTTTCAGACTTGTGTTTTTATTTCTGGAGATGTCTTTTTGTCATCATATCAAGCGTTTACTAAATACCAAGCCCTTTGTTTAGTCTCATTATTCTTGAATATTTTCACAAAATAAGATTGTGTTCACAAAGTAAACCACTGTTAAGTACCAAGATCATGTAAATTCATTTTAGTACATTAGCTTGAATTGATTCCTATCAAATTTCCAATGTTTGATTCATTTTGCTCAACTTCGTTACATTAAATCACTTTTCTTGAAATCGAGTATACATTTGGGTATTAACCTCCCAGATGGAATCTGCAGTTTCACTCTGTATACTTCAAACTGATTGTTGGGATATTTTGCGTACTTCATAAGCACATTTAGTTCTGGTATCCATTGAAGTGCCTAATAATTGTACTGTTTACTTATCTCAATTCCAACATAGGACAATTATCTATACCAAGACTTAGTTGCATTTCAAATAGAAATAGATTGTCGTATTCTGAACTTATGCTAATTGTTGTTAGCAGCCTAATCTAGTACTGTTCTATTTACTCCACATATGGAAATGGATATTTGAATACCAACGTCTAATCATTGCGTAAATTTTTAGTCAGTGTACCCATAATTTTTTTAGCATTTCCCATTGCCCCTGTCCTTTACTCAATTAGACGTTTCTTTGTCTCTTATTTCTACCATTATGAGTCTAATTGTTCACTTTCAAAAATGTTTTTTCGGGAAATCATAGCATTCTAAATTATGGCCAGTCTATGTCGAAGTAGGAAAAAATAATAAATTGAAGCGGAACGACTAACTATTTTAATAATAAGGTATGCGCCCCCAAATGCCCTGGTACGGCCGAGAGTGGGGAGAGTCTGCTCTCCCTCTCGAAATGCTCTCATATGGCCACGCGAATATATAGCCACTGCCAGGGAAGTCCTACTCACTGCCTTCTCCTTGCGGGGGTGTTGTTCACAAAAGTGAGAGGACGAAAAGCGAATGTCCGGCGCTTTAACCGGGTTGGTGGATGTGGAGGATCCACCTAGGGGAGTTGGAAAACCCTGATTTCAAACCAATGGGGCACATGGGCTCCAGTATCCTGAAGGAACAAATGGCGTATGAACCAACTGTTGGTCACCGGCTACCATGGGACTGCATCTCCTTACGATTCTCCACTGCCTTGTGGACTAGACCTTTAGGTCAAAAGCTCCGGGTGTGGCCCCCTAAGAAAACCACCTGCCTCAGTCTGGGCAGTATCACAGCCCTCACAAATCTCATTCGTTTTGTGAGGCGCATATATATCTGTTGCTTCCTTGTACAAATATTTATGTGTTTAAATAAAATAAAATAACAAATAAGGTATACAAGAATTATTCATGAAGTCAAGCAAATACAATTAACATATAGGGTATATAATACTAGTTCTCTATTATTAAGTACCGATATAATCATACTACAAATAGATGCTCGGGACATTTGGTCTAGTAAATGTAATTGAAACCACAAATTTCCTGTATGATTGTATTCAGAATATTACGCTAGTATTCTGCTACCTATGTCTCAAATTTTGACTATCAAATAGACTCAGTTAACTGATACTCATACAAGTAAATCTTGCATAATAATGATATGGTTTGTGCTTAGCGTTACAAAAGAATATAATTGATTTGTATTTAGAATGTTCTTAGTTATATCTGTTATTGTGGAACAACTTATGAATAAAGCGGAGACATCATGATGTCGGCACATTTTGTTGAGGAATACCACCGGATACAATTATTACCAAAAAAATTTGCTAATTTTCATACTAAGTGACTGACTTGTTTCAAGCTTCACCATATTATTTAGTTGTATAATAAAAAATGAAGCCGAACTGCATTTGTACCGTAATTACACTAGCAATTGCCAAGGGTGTTAAAAAAATTCAAAAATATCGATTATCAACCACCGGACTCATTTTATTATTCGCCAACTTCACTAACCCTGACCGTTGCTACTACCTTTACGTGGTGTTCGGGTTTGCCTATCGTAATAAACCAATCGAGCTATATTGACTGGAACAATCGTTCATCAAGGTCCTACCATGCCAGACAAGTTGGTTGGAGTTCGGTAAAACTAAAAGCAGCAAATCTAAAGTCGTACTGCTGGTTGTACAGAGGTATTACGGTAGTAAGGTGTATTCTTCAGACAACCAGTATAAAAGCGATGCTGTCTTCAAACAAGGTTAGTTGGGGTTAGAAAAGGTCGACCCTAAAAATGCATACCCCGCCTTATCTCATGGATTTCCATCTCCATAGGTTATATTTCAACAAGTACGGTGCTAACACAAAAATTGCTCACGAAAAGGTGAGACCGACCTCAAGCAGTCGTCCATTGGGCATTGCGGTCACTCCTTCGGGTCACTAAGACCACCCCTAGCCCAATCTTTTTTCATGTGCCTCTAAAAGAACATCTCTACAATATAGGCAACCGGAGAATGATAACCGCCCTCATACCTCTAACAATACTCAAGACTACTGTTTTCATAATTAATCTCCCTCTTCAATTCCTATTATTCCCCCTACATCGACTATAAATTCTGAACTTTTTTAGCTTCCTCCTCAAGTGTCACCATGGTCGACTATTCTAGTGCACTAAGCGCTGTCCCAGGTCTACTGAAACCTCGCTCCAAACTACACATTGGAGCCTTCAACGTACGAACCCTGTGTCGAATCGGTCAGCAGGCCTCCTTGGCTAAAACCTTGGGATTTCGTACCATTGATGTATGCTGTGTCTCCGAAACACGCATACAGGATCTTAGTGTGATCATTCACTTGACCTCACCTAGCCAAAACGGAGAACCGATGAGATACACCCTCCGTGTATCTGGCAACCCGATGGCTAGTTCTCGTGGACTGGCGGATGTAGGCATAGCACTAAGTACGAGGACAGAACATGCACTGTTAGAATGGATACCTGTTAACAATCGTCTTTGTGCTGTTCGGCTAAACGGCTCCATAAGAACTCGGAAGGATAGGGACATACTTCGTTGCCTTTTTGTCGTTTCTGCCTACGCTCCCACTGACTGCATCCCGGGTGAAGTGAATGATGGGATCTACAGAAAACTTCTTCAAAAAGCTAAACATTCAGACATAGTACTCGTTGCAGGTGACTTTAATGCCCAAGTATGTAGCTTAAACCAAACAGAACGACATTTAGATGGGTATTTTAGTATCCCGGCTCAGCGAACAGATAATGGTGATCGTCTGCTGCAACCGTGCCTAGACAATCGTTTATTTTTAGCAAGCACTAGTTTTAAACATAAGAAGAGACGTCGTTAAACATGGAGACCACCTGCATCAAACCAACGATGGACTCAAATAGGCCATATTGCCATCACTCATCGTTGGAGAGGCTCAATAGAAGACTGTTGCTCGTTCTGGAATACTCTTTTGGATTCCGATTATGCTCTAATATGGGCACGCATTTGCTTGCGCCACACTGGATGCAGAGAAACCACGCTAAGAAGACCCATTAGAACTGTGTGACGAGAAAACCAAAAGTAGATTCTAGGAAAAACTAAGGTCACTCTTGGGTGGTTCTGAAAACGAGTTTGACCCAGATGTTGCTTGAAAAAATATACGAATAGCAGTGACATGTATTATTGATTTGAGCCAAAGAGTTGCGAAAAACCAGTGGATTTCTGCGACATCTATTGTACTGATAGACTAGTTACTTATCCTATCAAATTCGGAACATGATGAGGAACAGAACCAAATAAGATCTAGGCTAATCAAAAGTCTACAGAACGATTGTGAGCAGTGGTGGGCGACGAAAGCAAAAGAGATAGTAAAGGTAGGTAACACAAGACAGCTTTTTAGGCTAATGAAAGAAACGAATTAAAAATTCAAGTGTGAAACGATGTCGGAAAAAGACGACACTCTTATCTACTCTCAGCCCAGACGTGTAGAACGATGAGTGGAACACTTTTAGGGGCAGTTCAGCTGGCCTTCAGCTACTCTACAACTACCCACTATTCCCAAACACCATGAATGGAACATTGAAATAGGTCCCCCGACTTTGATTGAAGTTCAAAAGGCTATAGCTAATCTGAAACGATAAAGAGCAACTAGTTCAGATGGACTTGCTCCAGGGGTCTTTAGGTATGGTGGTCCAATTTTAGTGGTCAGGTTGACTGATATTTTATCTCAAATCTGGGAATCGAAAGTAATCCCATCTGACTGGTCGCAATCACTGATTTTCCCAATATATAAGAAGTGGTCAAAACCATCCTGTGATAATCATAAAAGGAAGTAGCTTGACTAGTATAACGTCCAAAATACTGACCTCGACAATTATCGAGCGCTTAACAAAGACTCGTGAACTGCAAACACGAGGAAATCAGGCTGGCTTCAGACCTGGTCGTGGCTGCATCGACCACATATTTAACATTAGTCAGGTTTTAGAACACAGACATGCTTATCAGCGTCCGACAGTGATAGTTTTTATTGACATGAAAGCAGCATTTGACTGTTGACCGAAAGGTTTTGTGACTGTCTCTGTCATTGATAGGCGTACCTTAGAAATACATAAACCTTGTGAAAGTTCTTTACTCGAACACTACCAGTCGAGTGAGAGTTTATGGCGAACCGTCATCTGATTTTACAACCTCAAGTGGTGTCCGACAAGGCTGTCCACTATCTCCATTTTTCTATAACTTCATCATAGACCTACTGCTGGAAGTAACGCTCTTATTGACTGGATTTTCAGGAATTGATCTTCCTGGAGGTGCACTTATCGACTTAGAATATGCAGATGACATATTCCTGTTTGAAGAAGACGCTGGCAAAATACAGAGTGTTTTGGTAGCACTGAGTAATAATGCAAGGATGTTTGGGATGCTTAGTTTGTTCTGTTCTACTTTACGGCTGCAAAACGTGGCCATCAAGAGTAGAAGATACTTGTAAGCTACTAGCATTTGACTACAGATGTCTTAGAAATATTGCTCGCATCTGTTGTGATCACCAGGTAAGTAATACTGAGGTTAGACGCAGGATATTAGGGAATGATGGTTCATCAGTTGATGAGGTTTTAAATTTTTATCGACTGATATAGTTGGGTCACGTGTTACGTATGCCCGAACACCGATTACCACGACACGTTATGCTGACTAGTATTGGCGATGGTTGGAAGAGTTAGGGGCGGCCCAAACAAAACGTGGCATCAGAGCTTGAAGTCACTAGCTTCTAGTCTAAGGCATGTTGGTAGATCAAGATTCCTTGGTGGGGGTCCGCGTGACTGTCGTAACCAATGGTTGGAGACTATGTGTGACATGGCTCAGAATCGATCACACTGGCGTAAGTGTATACACCTTCTATCTTCTCTTAAACTATAAGATTAAAATTGCTTCATATCTTTCTTTCTACCAGCTAATTCTTTCTTCCTGTACTATATTCTTATACACAATATTTCCTTTATATTTTACTACCCCTGAAGTAATTACTATGAATTCAGTGTTCACCTTGTTGTGCTAATAAGGCATGGAAACTTGGACCGATGCATATATGTGCCTGGTCGTAAGTTGTAGTTGACTGACTGAACTTCACCAACCTTAATACGGGTATATCACAGTCAGTTAGTTGGGTGCAATAGTAGCTAAGGTTGAATTAAAAGTTAGAATTTCTGCGCTTAAATGTAGGAGATAACACTTTGGGGGTATTAATGTTTGAACTAATAAAAACGCAATATCTAAATAAGATGATATTTCTAGGCTTTTGTTTTGAAGAGTCAATTATTGGACAGCACCTCACCTAATGATGCGAGATATAGAGAAATATTTGTTTTATTTGGATTCATTTCAGTCCCCTTCCTTACATCCATTTAGGATACTTGTACACAAACCCTTTAAAATACTCATGTGCTCACTAGGTAAGTAATTTACTTTTGTGAACGACCACTAGCTATGCTGGACTGGTCAGTCACAACTTAGAAATTCGTACTTACGTACATCAGTTCAAGTTGCCATACCACATTAGCACGGGAATGCAGTTTTCGATTCAAATCCCATAGTGGTAGAGGTAGTAATAGTATAAGCAGTAATCGAAAAGATCAGGGTTTGAAGATGTCATTCAAGTAGTATAATACAGTGAAATAAATTTGGAAAGAGAAAAAGGATAGGGACATGAGGAATTCAGAGGATTAGAATTTGGTAGAACACAAAGAGTGAATGCACCTTCGCCATCGCAAACGATTTTGAGCCATGTCATCCAACCAACCAGGTAGTCTACACCTACCAACATGGCTCGGTCTACTCATCAGTGACTTCATGGATTTGTGCCACGTTTTGGTCTGGCCGCCCCTAGCTTTCTTCCAACCAACTCCTACACCATAAAACATCGCACGTCGGTGGTTGGGCATACGTTGCACGTGTCTCAGCCATCTCAACTGATGAAGTTTCACTACTTCATCAATCAATTTGCCATCCTTACCTAGTACCCGTTTCCTAACAAGTGGATTACTTACTCAGTGGTCCTAGGATGTACGAGCAATGCTTCGAAGACACCTATGATCGAATACTGGCAGCCTACGAATATCCTCTGCTCTTACCGGCCATATTTCATTGCCATAAAGTAGGACGGAACAAACTGTTGCGCAGTAAACCTGTCCTTTGGTTGGTAGACGGATATCTCGCCTACGCCATAAATGACGCAAGTTGGCGAAAACTAGACGAGCCTTCTGTGTCCATGCTGAGATTTCGTCACACACCAGACCACAAGGGCTGATGAGACTCCCAAGATAAGTGAAGCGGTCGACACGCTCAACTGATTCACTCCCTATCATTAGTTCAGGTGCCAATGCAACCCAATCCTGAAGTAACATTTTGTATTTCGAGGCGGAGAATGGCATCCCGAACATTGCTGGACTGGTATGGCTCATGATTCCTTAAACTTCCTTCAAGCATTCGATTGTGTTTACTATATTCGATACAGAAATAAGCTATCTTTTGTCTCAATCTACGCGGGTAAGATAAACTACATTTTTGGTAATAAGTTAAACAGTACCCTATCAACTATAACCGCGATCAAATTGTTTAACACATTTAAGAAAAAAGCTTCATAAGAATCAGCAGTGGGATATCAATACTGACCGCTAATTATTTTTTTAAAACATTCCATCGAACGAAAGAAATGCGCACAGTTGTATTTTTATTAAATATGACATCCATTTGCAAGTAATCTGTCACATTTCAGCTCAAGAATGCATGAATTCTGAATAAATTCATCGTTGCTATCAATCTTTCTACTGCCCTTAAATCATATGTTGTGACCAGTTGTTACTTTCTGTAAATTCCCCAATAACTGTTGTTCTACAGGTATAGTTAAATCAATTGTTGTGGCGGTTGTTTCACGATATAATGTTGTCCAATTTGCTTGGTTATTCACTACGTTAGTTGCATTCGGGGCTGAATCAATAGCACCACAACCACGTAATCCATGTATAAATACGCTTGGTCTCGGTACTTGTGTATAACCATCCTCTTTGGTTGCTGTACTAGTTTCTCTGAAATTTGAAAAAAATTAAAGACTGACTACATTTCAAAATTGATAGATTAGTACTTCATCTTTTTATAGGAGGGTATGGGTCTAATTAAAGTCATTATGGCGTTACGATAAAACTTATATCATAATTACCTTTTACCTATATGCAAATCGTTTCTTTGAGACGTGCACTAGTAAACAATTTAAGTTGTCTAGAGCTTTGGTTTATATAACTCATCTAGAATGTTTTAACTTAGTTAAATTAGATTAGAATAGTGGACTTTCTGTAGAACGTAGAGAATAGAATTTATGCTGTTTCGGAAAAAAAATACTTTTGGCAATATTTCACTACTTGCATAATATTTCAAGACATCAAACGTTTTCAATAAATAATCGTTTTATAAGCTAAATCAAAGTGTACGAAGTGTGTTCTCAACATATATTGCCCTAAAAGTCATCCTTACGACTTTACCATTCAAAGTTCGTGAAAATTGAGCAGCTGAATGCTCTGTCTTACTAATATAGGAAAAGTTAGAGATACTGTGCTTTAGTCAAGGAAACACGACGTAATATAGCACCTCATCTACACGTAAGTCTGTTGACGTTTAATCTTTCCAAGCCCTTCAGTTAACTTATTGAAAAGGCAGTGTCATTTGAACAGTAACAATTTGTCTATATCTTTGTAATATTATTATCATGTCCATATGAACATATGTGATTAATCACATCTATATATATGTGCTTGAATCATCAATTCACTCGCCTCCATATTTGCTAGCTCGCATTTCCATTTCTACTCGAATTCACTTTGTGTACTTGTGGCTCAGTGATTTGCGCTGTACAATAACAATTTGTAGTCAATGCTTCTTATTGTCTCCAGGATTTGATAAACCTTTGGGAGCTACTTAATAACAATTATCAGTACGTGTGATGCACAAAGCCTTAGGAATTATCTCGAAGATAATCCACTACGACAGTTTGTACCTTCTACTTATGGATTTTAATTCGAAAATTACTGACCAACAATACTATTCTAAACTAATTGATACTTATAGGAAGAATAGTCCTCGTGTAATGTGAAAACAAGCTATTTTTTATAACAAAATGAAAGAAACAGAAAAATCACAAAACCAGTCGAAACTCGGTATTACACATTTTTGTGAATTGACTGAGTAATGAGAAACTTTATTTTTGGTGAGCAGTTCTGAAAGGTATCATGTCCACTATAAGACCTAAACGTTCTGAATATGGTCTTTTATCTGATCCTGGTTGTCGACTAATGAACGAACGTTGAGCTAATTTGGCCCAGCTATTAATTGCTATCTGTTCATTAACAGTTCTCTAGTTGATACGACCTGTGTTATATGAAGACGAACGTTGAATTTTAATGACCTTCACAGCCCTCTCTCATCTTAATAAGTTAAACCACAGTCAGCCAAAACGAAGAAATGTTCTCTTTGTATTAAGTCTTACTTCATTGGATAAACTTGAGTTGCATTGTCTCTTCTCCAATTGCTTAAAATTGTTTGAACAGAAGCTGTGGCCTTTTTTCTTAAGTTTACCTACTTGTTATAAAGAAAATAAAATAAGCTGACAACTGAAGGGTAATTCCAAAGTATGCAGAGAACATAACATTACTAAAACCAATTACTATACTGGTATTTCTCTATATCCAGCCAAAAAATTTAATACAATTTAGGTAAGATTGTTACTATTTTAGAAGAAGTTACATAAAACCTGAGTTTATATTTTAACGAATAGTTTACCTTCATAACATCAATGATCTTTTAATAACACATTTTCTGAAAAGGTAAGCGAATTAAAAAGTTGTTAAGATTTAGAATCTTGAAAAGTTTAATTTGATGAGTAAGCATCCCCTATTTACATTTGCAATGTATATATTCATATAGCAACTACTAGAAAGGCAAAATGATAGTTGTATTGCCTCAAAATTCATAAGAGAATAGAAGCCAAGTAGGTTTCTTCTTAAAATACTTTCAAAATAGTCAGACCCTGAGTTTGGAGTATTTATTAATAACTTCCCTAACGAGTATTCCTGAGAACTATAGATATTAAATGCGATGGTGCTGTATAAAATATGTAGTGTATAATGTGAATCTCGAAACTGTAAGTAAGACGAATCTATTATGATTACTTACAAGCCAACTATTTCTATAAATATATGCCGATAACTGTTAAGTTGAAACAAAAACTACTACCTGGAAAACTTCGGTCAGTGGCAGTTAAACGAATTACAAAAGTACGTAAGAGTAATTGTCTAACGATGAGCAAATGATGAAGAGTAGTGGTAATTTACTGATCTTGCGAAAGAATACAAATACAATCTTACTGGTAAAAGTATATTACACTGACGACCTTGAGCGACTTATCAGCCAATCAGGAGGCAGTGTTTAACTATAGAACGATTAACACTAGAATGATTACTTTGGTACGAATAATTAACTCTTATATGTTGGATTATTCCTTATAATGGCGGAAAATGTTTGAGTTTACATATTATAAGGCAGACTAGTGTTATGAGGTCGGTTAGTGAACTCATCGTGTTCTCGTCACCAACTGACATAAGCTCTACTGCAAAACGGTTAGGTATTATGAGTTTAATTACGGTTACAATTTAGAGTTAAGGTTTTCATCACGAACTGACCACCTATAATGCAATGTCCTGCCACCCTTTTCTTTACAAACTTATGAAACTAAGGGTTGATATTTAAAGAAGAATTTAGAAAGAAAGAATATTCATTAGCTTCACAAAAAACTCTTGACTACACATTGAATCATATAAAGTACCTCGACGCTCAACCTACCCTAGAGGCAGGTGTGCTTTGTAATTCAGCTTAAGGGTCACCTAAGATTCACTTTACGGTTGCACAATAGATTTTTTATTGATTCCAAGCATATTAAGAATCAATTATTGCCAATTTTCACCTAATTGACATTAACGTAAAAATTGTCTGTCATTCCACTTCAAACTGCACAAAATACATAAGCACTATCTTGATTCTGTTTGTTTAACTCGCGGCCGTCACTATGCAATATTTTTGCTACCTTACTTCCATAGATCAAGAATTTGCGTGCATTGTTATGATAATTAGAAGTATCCGAATCAATGTGCTAGCTAATAATTCCAGAAATAGTGCAATTTAACGGAGATAGAACTATATGAGCACAAATGAACGTATTGCATTTGGAATTCGTAATCAGCAGGCGATTGAGTACAAAGGAATCATTATTTTGTGCAAATACAACAATTTTATAAGGCATTATGCTAAATTCTTCGATAAAATACTCAGACCCATGGTTACTTACCAACTTTAAAGCATTTTTCCTCAGTTCCCACTCATTCCAATGATAGTTTTTATTAATATACGTTTCTATTGGGTGCAGTACTGTTTGAACACCGCAGTCGACCTTAGGACTTGTATTCTCATGAAATTGACTATTCTGAAATAAAAATGTCAATTAATTCCTATTAATATCATAAATTATTTTGATATGCTATAAATAAAAAAACCAGTCCATCCGTATGATAACTTACAATTTATCTGATATTACATCTCATTATCACTTTTGGTCAATAAGTTCCTATATGAATAAATTAAATTCAAGTGAAGGAAAACAATAACAGTCGTGTTCTAAAGTTCATCAAGATTTTGAAGTATTAATTAAGCAACAGAATTAGACTTCGGTTCATGTTAGAGATTCTATGGAAAATACTACTCATTTTTGATGAAGATTCACTTAATTAGGTGATAAGAACTAAAATGTTAAAGATTCATGCATAAACTACCTCACATATCTAGTAACCATATATTTTTCATAAAAACAAATATCAATATGTTGTAGTCTTCTGTATTAGTTCCTTACAGTATTACATGTTGGAGGCCATTATACTAACACCGTGAATAAACCACTTCAATGTTGGTTGAAGATGTTACCAGGTTTCGTGTGCTTAGAATCGGTTGACAAAACTGTCGGTCTTAAACTTACTGAGGTGGTGGAAGCATGATTTATGAAGTCAACTTGGAATGTGCAATCAAGTATTATATAAAAGTAGATTTCAAAAATCCTAGAAGCAATCAGATCGAGATAGGACAAAGTTCTATGAAGACATTAACCGTCCCTGGGCGTATCACGAGGTACAGAATTATTGATTAGGTCTTGGAATTTTTTCGAAATGTTTTCAGAGACTAGTTGATATGAGTCGAAATCTAAATTTTGAGCTTCGTACCATTCCATTCTGTTCAGAATAATTCGATAAATTTCCTGCCTTTCGAACTATATTTCCTATGTTTAATTCATTTATACCACCGGCTGGACTTATGGGTGCTAATTATTTTAAGACTTCTATCTCAGTGTTGATTTGAGATGTGACATTATTTATAACTGAGAGATAATATTTCGGTTTACGAATATTCTTTGATTAATTATTAGAATAGGGGGTTAAGGGTATCGTTGAATTGTATAGTGATCATCATGGACTGTTCGTGTGCTTAGAATCGGTTGACAAAACTGTCGGTCTTAAACTTACTGAGGTGGTGGAAGCATGATTTATGAAGTCAACTTGGAATGTGCAATCAAGTATTATATAAAAGTAGATTTCAAAAATCCTAGAAGCAATCAGATCGAGATAGGACAAAGTTCTATGAAGACATTAACCGTCCCTGGGCGTATCACGAGGTACAGAATTATTGATTAGGTCTTGGAATTTTTTCGAAATGTTTTCAGAGACTAGTTGATATGAGTCGAAATCTAAATTTTGAGCTTCGTACCATTCCATTCTGTTCAGAATAATTCGATAAATTTCCTGCCTTTCGAACTATATTTCCTATGTTTAATTCATTTATACCACCGGCTGGACTTATGGGTGCTAATTATTTTAAGACTTCTATCTCAGTGTTGATTTGAGATGTGACATTATTTATAACTGAGAGATAATATTTCGGTTTACGAATATTCTTTGATTAATTATTAGAATAGGGGGTTAAGGGTATCGTTGAATTGTATAGTGATCATCATGGACTGTTCGTGTGCTTAGAATCGGTTGACAAAACTGTCGGTCTTAAACTTACTGAGGTGGTGGAAGCATGATTTATGAAGTCAACTTGGAATGTGCAATCAAGTATTATATAAAAGTAGATTTCAAAAATCCTAGAAGCAATCAGATCGAGATAGGACAAAGTTCTATGAAGACATTAACCGTCCCTGGGCGTATCACGAGGTACAGAATTATTGATTAGGTCTTGGAATTTTTTCGAAATGTTTTCAGAGACTAGTTGATATGAGTCGAAATCTAAATTTTGAGCTTCGTACCATTCCATTCTGTTCAGAATAATTCGATAAATTTCCTGCCTTTCGAACTATATTTCCTATGTTTAATTCATTTATACCACCGGCTGGACTTATGGGTGCTAATTATTTTAAGACTTCTATCTCAGTGTTGATTTGAGATGTGACATTATTTATAACTGAGAGATAATATTTCGGTTTACGAATATTCTTTGATTAATTATTAGAATAGGGGGTTAAGGGTATCGTTGAATTGTATAGTGATCATCATGGACTGTTCGTGTGCTTAGAATCGGTTGACAAAACTGTCGGTCTTAAACTTACTGAGGTGGTGGAAGCATGATTTATGAAGTCAACTTGGAATGTGCAATCAAGTATTATATAAAAGTAGATTTCAAAAATCCTAGAAGCAATCAGATCGAGATAGGACAAAGTTCTATGAAGACATTAACCGTCCCTGGGCGTATCACGAGGTACAGAATTATTGATTAGGTCTTGGAATTTTTTCGAAATGTTTTCAGAGACTAGTTGATATGAGTCGAAATCTAAATTTTGAGCTTCGTACCATTCCATTCTGTTCAGAATAATTCGATAAATTTCCTGCCTTTCGAACTATATTTCCTATGTTTAATTCATTTATACCACCGGCTGGACTTATGGGTGCTAATTATTTTAAGACTTCTATCTCAGTGTTGATTTGAGATGTGACATTATTTATAACTGAGAGATAATATTTCGGTTTACGAATATTCTTTGATTAATTATTAGAATAGGGGGTTAAGGGTATCGTTGAATTGTATAGTGATCATCATGGACTGTTCGTGTGCTTAGAATCGGTTGACAAAACTGTCGGTCTTAAACTTACTGAGGTGGTGGAAGCATGATTTATGAAGTCAACTTGGAATGTGCAATCAAGTATTATATAAAAGTAGATTTCAAAAATCCTAGAAGCAATCAGATCGAGATAGGACAAAGTTCTATGAAGACATTAACCGTCCCTGGGCGTATCACGAGGTACAGAATTATTGATTAGGTCTTGGAATTTTTTCGAAATGTTTTCAGAGACTAGTTGATATGAGTCGAAATCTAAATTTTGAGCTTCGTACCATTCCATTCTGTTCAGAATAATTCGATAAATTTCCTGCCTTTCGAACTATATTTCCTATGTTTAATTCATTTATACCACCGGCTGGACTTATGGGTGCTAATTATTTTAAGACTTCTATCTCAGTGTTGATTTGAGATGTGACATTATTTATAACTGAGAGATAATATTTCGGTTTACGAATATTCTTTGATTAATTATTAGAATAGGGGGTTAAGGGTATCGTTGAATTGTATAGTGATCATCATGGACTGTTCGTGTGCTTAGAATCGGTTGACAAAACTGTCGGTCTTAAACTTACTGAGGTGGTGGAAGCATGATTTATGAAGTCAACTTGGAATGTGCAATCAAGTATTATATAAAAGTAGATTTCAAAAATCCTAGAAGCAATCAGATCGAGATAGGACAAAGTTCTATGAAGACATTAACCGTCCCTGGGCGTATCACGAGGTACAGAATTATTGATTAGGTCTTGGAATTTTTTCGAAATGTTTTCAGAGACTAGTTGATATGAGTCGAAATCTAAATTTTGAGCTTCGTACCATTCCATTCTGTTCAGAATAATTCGATAAATTTCCTGCCTTTCGAACTATATTTCCTATGTTTAATTCATTTATACCACCGGCTGGACTTATGGGTGCTAATTATTTTAAGACTTCTATCTCAGTGTTGATTTGAGATGTGACATTATTTATAACTGAGAGATAATATTTCGGTTTACGAATATTCTTTGATTAATTATTAGAATAGGGGGTTAAGGGTATCGTTGAATTGTATAGTGATCATCATGGACTGTTCGTGTGCTTAGAATCGGTTGACAAAACTGTCGGTCTTAAACTTACTGAGGTGGTGGAAGCATGATTTATGAAGTCAACTTGGAATGTGCAATCAAGTATTATATAAAAGTAGATTTCAAAAATCCTAGAAGCAATCAGATCGAGATAGGACAAAGTTCTATGAAGACATTAACCGTCCCTGGGCGTATCACGAGGTACAGAATTATTGATTAGGTCTTGGAATTTTTTCGAAATGTTTTCAGAGACTAGTTGATATGAGTCGAAATCTAAATTTTGAGCTTCGTACCATTCCATTCTGTTCAGAATAATTCGATAAATTTCCTGCCTTTCGAACTATATTTCCTATGTTTAATTCATTTATACCACCGGCTGGACTTATGGGTGCTAATTATTTTAAGACTTCTATCTCAGTGTTGATTTGAGATGTGACATTATTTATAACTGAGAGATAATATTTCGGTTTACGAATATTCTTTGATTAATTATTAGAATAGGGGGTTAAGGGTATCGTTGAATTGTATAGTGATCATCATGGACTGTTCGTGTGCTTAGAATCGGTTGACAAAACTGTCGGTCTTAAACTTACTGAGGTGGTGGAAGCATGATTTATGAAGTCAACTTGGAATGTGCAATCAAGTATTATATAAAAGTAGATTTCAAAAATCCTAGAAGCAATCAGATCGAGATAGGACAAAGTTCTATGAAGACATTAACCGTCCCTGGGCGTATCACGAGGTACAGAATTATTGATTAGGTCTTGGAATTTTTTCGAAATGTTTTCAGAGACTAGTTGATATGAGTCGAAATCTAAATTTTGAGCTTCGTACCATTCCATTCTGTTCAGAATAATTCGATAAATTTCCTGCCTTTCGAACTATATTTCCTATGTTTAATTCATTTATACCACCGGCTGGACTTATGGGTGCTAATTATTTTAAGACTTCTATCTCAGTGTTGATTTGAGATGTGACATTATTTATAACTGAGAGATAATATTTCGGTTTACGAATATTCTTTGATTAATTATTAGAATAGGGGGTTAAGGGTATCGTTGAATTGTATAGTGATCATCATGGACTGTTCGTGTGCTTAGAATCGGTTGACAAAACTGTCGGTCTTAAACTTACTGAGGTGGTGGAAGCATGATTTATGAAGTCAACTTGGAATGTGCAATCAAGTATTATATAAAAGTAGATTTCAAAAATCCTAGAAGCAATCAGATCGAGATAGGACAAAGTTCTATGAAGACATTAACCGTCCCTGGGCGTATCACGAGGTACAGAATTATTGATTAGGTCTTGGAATTTTTTCGAAATGTTTTCAGAGACTAGTTGATATGAGTCGAAATCTAAATTTTGAGCTTCGTACCATTCCATTCTGTTCAGAATAATTCGATAAATTTCCTGCCTTTCGAACTATATTTCCTATGTTTAATTCATTTATACCACCGGCTGGACTTATGGGTGCTAATTATTTTAAGACTTCTATCTCAGTGTTGATTTGAGATGTGACATTATTTATAACTGAGAGATAATATTTCGGTTTACGAATATTCTTTGATTAATTATTAGAATAGGGGGTTAAGGGTATCGTTGAATTGTATAGTGATCATCATGGACTGTTCGTGTGCTTAGAATCGGTTGACAAAACTGTCGGTCTTAAACTTACTGAGGTGGTGGAAGCATGATTTATGAAGTCAACTTGGAATGTGCAATCAAGTATTATATAAAAGTAGATTTCAAAAATCCTAGAAGCAATCAGATCGAGATAGGACAAAGTTCTATGAAGACATTAACCGTCCCTGGGCGTATCACGAGGTACAGAATTATTGATTAGGTCTTGGAATTTTTTCGAAATGTTTTCAGAGACTAGTTGATATGAGTCGAAATCTAAATTTTGAGCTTCGTACCATTCCATTCTGTTCAGAATAATTCGATAAATTTCCTGCCTTTCGAACTATATTTCCTATGTTTAATTCATTTATACCACCGGCTGGACTTATGGGTGCTAATTATTTTAAGACTTCTATCTCAGTGTTGATTTGAGATGTGACATTATTTATAACTGAGAGATAATATTTCGGTTTACGAATATTCTTTGATTAATTATTAGAATAGGGGGTTAAGGGTATCGTTGAATTGTATAGTGATCATCATGGACTGTTCGTGTGCTTAGAATCGGTTGACAAAACTGTCGGTCTTAAACTTACTGAGGTGGTGGAAGCATGATTTATGAAGTCAACTTGGAATGTGCAATCAAGTATTATATAAAAGTAGATTTCAAAAATCCTAGAAGCAATCAGATCGAGATAGGACAAAGTTCTATGAAGACATTAACCGTCCCTGGGCGTATCACGAGGTACAGAATTATTGATTAGGTCTTGGAATTTTTTCGAAATGTTTTCAGAGACTAGTTGATATGAGTCGAAATCTAAATTTTGAGCTTCGTACCATTCCATTCTGTTCAGAATAATTCGATAAATTTCCTGCCTTTCGAACTATATTTCCTATGTTTAATTCATTTATACCACCGGCTGGACTTATGGGTGCTAATTATTTTAAGACTTCTATCTCAGTGTTGATTTGAGATGTGACATTATTTATAACTGAGAGATAATATTTCGGTTTACGAATATTCTTTGATTAATTATTAGAATAGGGGGTTAAGGGTATCGTTGAATTGTATAGTGATCATCATGGACTGTTCTCAATTAAACAACCATTGAAAACCAGGAAAAGTTGTACAGTTATGTCTTCTTAGCATAAGAAACTTCAACGGCGTGCATCCATGACGACATTTGGATTCAGACCCAAGATAAACAGGTCTGTTGTCAAATGCCTAAACTTCACACTACTGGGCTAGTATCCATCTGTCTTCATGTCTCTTAATTGTGTTGAGGTGATAGTGTGTGTTTCTTCGAATAATATGTGACAAACACTACATCTGTTAAAGTTCCAAGTTGCGCATTTCATAAGACCCATTCGTTATAACCGAACTCAAGTTGTTGATGCAATCAAAAATTGACTTGGATTTATAAAATCGTCTAGAACTATACGGAATTTGGTCTGAAGTACTCCTACTAGTTAACAAAACAATTATCAGAAGGAATGCGCAGCTACTGTGAGAAGTTACAAAGTATTTACACAATACATTTGCATAGCCTTCAATCGTTCCTTTTCATCTTTCGGTGTGTTTCACCATCTGAACTGTTTTCTCATCTGGTCTACAAGTGTTTTGCTGACACCGCACATTTGATGCACTGGAACTTTTCACTCCGTCCGACAGCTGTAGCAACTTAGGTTTCACATCCCGCTACACACTACTTACAAACAATCTTATGAGCAGCATCCACTACACTACCATCAGAAAAAGCAATTACATAAATACGATTTTCACAGCAATTGTAGTAAAAAATATTATTCATTATAAGATATTATTCTAAAGTTTTTGTAACATATATTTTAAAGACCTACCGTATAAGAAATTCCTTTCGAAAAAAGGTAATTGAGTTTTAAAATTGGGATTAGTTCAGGTAAACGTCGTATAACTTCTGGTATAGCCTTCAAAAACCTAGGAAGATAAATTTCAAGAAAATGAAAATTACTTAAAATTAACCGCTTAATATTGTTTTTCCAAATATACGTACATTAGAAGACATGATCTAACATCTGTATGAAAAGGACTATCCATTTACTACAAGACAATATGATGTGAAATCATCTTATTGGTTATCGGAGTATTGCAGTCCACTGGGATCTACTTAAGAACTGATTTGCTAGAGTGCTATTTTAAGTTTTTCATTACTTTCCTTCTCAACGTCCACCCAGTAAAATCTCCATTTTCTGTACTCAGTGTTAACAATTTTACTATGAATTATCACTTACACATAAACCCTGTCTAATAAGTTTTTTGTCTATTTCACAATGAGACATCTGATGAAGAATAACTTCTTTTAACATGGGACATTCAAAAACGAAAAATATATGGGAGGACAATAGTTTACAACCACTAACAGTATATTAGGCCATTAATTTATGAATAAATTAATTGGATGCGTTAGATTGAGGAGATTAAACATAAACCATCACTAATGTAAGAAACTTAGTCAGAAGTAATTCAATTTTTACATCAGACAAAAAAAATATCGAATACAAGAAAATCTATGGATAATCAGAATAAAGTTAGATAGCAGACATGTATAAATTAATCTGAAAGGTAACAATATATGCAAGTAAATAATTACATTCATGAAAATAAGTACAACATGATGAAAGAGGATGCAGATTATAAGACGTACATACATAGGAGATGAGTATATGATAATGAATATAGTATTATTGAGAAAATAAAAGTGATCCACTAGTCATATACCAACTGATTTTATTGTGCGTCCAGAAGTTAGAATAATTCAGATAGTAATATGAATTACAACAATTTCACATTGGTTATGTCAATTCTAGACAACATTAAAACAATTGGGGTCTAAACTTTTAAATGATATCCCCCCCCGAATTGATGAACAATTCCTAATACCTTCGGACTCCTCAAACCAATAGAATTAATGCCAATATTTTTTAATGGATTATTTTTTTCAAGATGAATGTAAAAGGCGATAATTTGTGCAAGGATCTTGTTTTTAATAGCAAGGAGCTCCATTAATTAGTCGATCACTAGTTTAAATTTAATTTTGAATATGATCACGGCCGGCGACAATTTGTTTCTCAGCGTGTTATATCATATATTTGGGAGAAAGAACTATGGAGCTAGACAAATAGGGGATTTATTTTAATAACACTATGTTTCAATATTTACAGTCTGACCCTTGAGGTTTATTGTTAAAGGTAAAGAAGAAAAGACATTCATTTTTTAAATGTCAACTGTCAGTTATGATATCTTGAATAACGATATGCTATATTCTTGAGACCGTAGAATATATAGGGGAACAACTGATTGAAAATAAAATTGAAACTACTGTTCCGATTAATGTCTTGAAAGAGTTATTACTGAAATGCACCATGAATGTAAATTTCAAATTCAACGGTGACATATTTAGACAAACAGATGGTGTGGCAATGGGTTCACCTCTGGGCCCTATACTAGCTGATATATTTCTAGCTAAATTAGAGAACGGTCATCTGAAAAAGATTATTCAAGAATTCAAATTTTACTGCAGATATATGGATGACACATTCATCCTGTGTAAAGATAATATTTCACAACAAGATGTGCTTAGGCAGTTTAACGAAGTGCATCCAGCCATCCAGTTTACATCGGAGGAAGAGAGTGATGGCCGATTAGCCTTTTTAGACGTCCTCTTAACTAAGAGATCTGATGGATCGTTAAGAAGAAACATGAACAGAAAAAGTACTTGGACTGGACAGTATACACACTTCCTAAGCTTTGTACCTCTACAGTACAAACGAAACCTAATCAAAACCCTTAGCTATCGAATACGCACTATATGTTCGGCGGATGTAGTTGACAATGAGCTAAACACATTGCATAATGCTCTAAGGGAGAACGGGTATCCCAGAAAATTTATAATTAAATATATGATCTTGAAAGTGAAAATAGGCGAATTCCAAACGGTCAAGAAAAAGTCCTTGTTCATGCGCCTATAATTCAGGGGGGATGCCGCTGGCGAAATACTTGCTCAGAGATTACGCAGATCTATCCAAAAATCTTTCAACGCAGGTGAACTACGTTTGGTGTTTTCTACGCGTCCAATGGTGACACCGAGGCTTAAAGATGAAGTTCCTAGAATGACCACTTCATTTTGTATTTATCAGTTCGACTGCTCCTGTGGAGCAAGTTATATTGGTCGAAGTTCTAGGAATTTACATTTTCGTGCTCGTGAACACCTCCCAGCGTGGCAAAACAAAGGTCTGATGAGGAAAGTAAACGGCTCGATATTGGCCCATTTAGTACAAACTGGTCATAGTGCCAGTATAAATCAATCTTTTCCAATTATTTATAGGGTCAGTAATTTTATGCCAAAGCTTATCAGGCTTAAAGTCCTTCAAACGGCGGAGGCAGTAGCCATCAGAATGAAGAAACCTGAGCTATGTGTACAGAAGAAATATCTCCAACCCCTACTTCTCCCTTGGCCAACCACAAGGCCAATTAATGAACAATCATCTTAGCTATTGTATGACCTAATTTGACTATGTACTTACGACCTTTCGTAGTCAAATGTAATTGTCTCTTATCTTTATTCACAAATTTTTGTATTTTATTATTATTATTATTATTATTGGTTAAATATCATTATTAATCCCCCCTAAACATGATTCATTCACATCGCATTGATCCCTCCTTATTACGTCTCACTAATTTTTCACACATTTAGTCTTCCACTTGATCGAATTGTAATTGCACTATCATATCTCTCTCACCCTATCTGACCCATATTTATATTCTGATCACAGATCTTAAATTTTCATTTTACGTATATACAGATTCAAGTTAACATTCTATATGAGTCATATCAACATTAACAATTTTATTCTATTTGGTTTTTGACAATCCTAAATTTACATTCTTTAAACGATGTACTTTGCCTTTAACCTGGCCAATTTTTCGGATTATTAATTTGGATATATAATTGTAGAACCTGAAGAGAATTTATCGAAAAGAATATTCTTCGTTCAAATATTAGTCTTTTGATATGCTATATACATATATAATATATACTCTTATTTAACACTTACTTATCACTTTCCATCACAAATTCTTTTGCTGCTTCCGGTGTGCTAAATGTATACATTTTATTATCTGGAGGTAAGAGTAAAACTCCCATATGAGTATCAGCTGGTACTAGTAGACCTTGATAACGTACCAATGACCAGATGCAAAATCCCTGTAAATATTGATTAAAATAAAACATTTATAAACGATGATAATTAATATTTAATTATAAATGTAAGTAGAGATTAAACAAGACTAAATTCTACTGACATTTATTCGTCTAACATTACAAACTGTACAGGAAGTTCTGTTTATGGTTAGGGTCTGCTGTCAAGAATTTACTGTTGTTTAAAGAGTATTGTGATATAGACAAATTTTGATACTTGTTCAGCTGGAAAGTAGTTAGTAAATAAGAATTAATAATACTCTAAAATTGTTAGAAAAATTCTAAAAGGCTCGCATTAAGAGTAACCTATGATTGAGTAGTACATTTTTTATTTTATGGTGAAGTATTTATGTTTAGACTTCGCGGATGATCTGGCTCTTCTATCACAAACGCAACAACAAATGCAGGAGAAAACGACCAGTGTAGCAGCAGCCTCAGCAGCAGTAGGTCTCAATATAAACAAAGGGAAAAGCAAGACTCTCCGATACAATACAATATGCACCAATCCAATTACACTTGACGGAGAAGCTTTGGAGGATGTGGAAATCTTTACATATCTGGGCAGCATCATTGATGAACACGGTGGATCAGATGCAGATGTGAGGGCGAGGATCGGCAAAGCAAGAGCAGCATACCTACAGCTGAAAAACATCTGGAGCTCAAAACAATTGTCAACCAACACCAAGGTTAGAATTTTCAATACAAATGTGAAGACAGTTCTTCTGTATGGGGCAGAGACGTGGAGAACTACGAAAGCCATTATCCAGAAGATACAAGTGTTTATTAACAGCTGTCTACGCAAGATACTTCGGATCCGATGGCCAGACACTATCAGCAACAAGTTACTGTGGGAGAGAACAAACCAGATTCCAGCGGAGGAAGAAATCAGGAAGAAGCGTTGGAAGTGGATTGGGCACACTTTGAGGAAATCACCCAATTGTGTCACAAGACAAGCCCTCACATGGAATCCTGAAGGTGGGTTGGAGTGGGTTGGAGAAAGCTGGTCGGCGGCCTATGCTCCATTGGGAGTAACAGGCGTAAGTAAGTAAGTAAGTATTTATGTTTAACAAAACATGTATTCTGGAATCTGCTACATGTATAAAAAATATTTTGAAATTGTTCTAGAACTTGTGTTCATGATGATCTGTCATGAAAACTGATTTGTGCAAGTGTCATATAAACCTCTTAAAGTAAGAATTCTAGAGTTCGGCCTGAATGTTGAAATCACTCTATGAAGTTTAAACGTCTCGTAAAATATAAGTTAATTGAATTTCTTGTGACAATAAAACTTTTAATTCTACTTTTACCTGAATGTGTTGTATTTGTAATCTAACAGGTAGCTGTGTTACATCAAATTGATCAAAGAATAATCAAGAATTTATTTTTCATAGTGAATAATACAATTAATTAGTGTTATAAGCTTATCAACTGAATTAATTTCTATAATTCATGCTGATATTTTCCAAGTCTCATGCTTCTAAATACGTATACAACTCGTTGATGATCAGCTAAAGTTATCACCCATTGAATACGCATGACGATTTAGGTCTCTGCATACAACTTGTTGGCCACGTAGTATACAGTATTATTTCATCATTAGGAACACAATAATCATTTTCTTACCAGATACATAGTGAGCATAAAAAATTGTCCTAAAGTACCTCTGCTTAGTATTAAAATGTATCAGAAAATAGTAGTATTTAAAAACAAAGTTATGTAAACCAAAAACAACTCCTGCCATTCACTTTAGTTGAAATATACCTGAAATTTCTCTAAAAGACAATACTAATGTTGATTAATCAGAGATATTAAATATTTCTTTGAGGAATTTACTTCATCAGTGACAAAAGTTGATGTGAAAATAGTAGAAATCATATATTTACTGTTAACTTATTTATTAAATTAGCGTATAATTATATAATAAACAAGCATAAACTCTCAAGACTACTTACTTCGCACTCAATATTAAGATTCATCTCGTCTGATGAAGAATGCGGGAATACACACTGATTTCCCCCACAGTACTCTTCACTTAATGGCTCATGATGCTAAAATAAAATTGTGTAAAATAATTATGGAAATTATAAATCAAGAACATTAAAAATTCACTTAGGTGTACTGAGATAAGAACAATTAAGTAATTATGCATTTTGACTACATTTTCAGTGATAATTAGCAGTGTTATTCACGACAAGCATTTTATATAATGTTGGGATGATCCTGCAAATTACTCGCAATAGACATGACAAGCTCAGGAAACATTATGAAGCATATTATCCAATCAGCGTTTGATTAGAAGTTTTGCTAGAAATATCACGAAAGTGAAAAGTCACATGTAGAGGTTCTGATTGGAATACTACTACACTGCTACTATGTTTAGCAGTATTCTAGAATTTTCAGTAAAACCCAAGGTCTTTTAAAATACTATAAAAACCATATATTTTCTGTACATAGATGAACCTTTGGAGTAAAGTGCTCCCCGCAAATTTTTGTGCCTTTTCTCTCGTGTTCAGGTCGCTGTGTAGTTCTAGCTTGGGGGGTTACGAAACTAGCTTAGAATCCGAATAATAGCGTTCAATCAGTAGGACATTTCATATAATGTACGTAAATTTAGACATGTTTTGCCATATTTAATCTAGTATATAAAATTCACAACTTCTACTGATAGATCGCTAGTCACTAAATCATTCACTCGCCGGTGTGACCTTTCCTTATATGAAGATTAAGATGATTGAAGCGTTTCTGTTTCTAAATGAAGTGAGAACATCAGAAAGTCAGTTAGAATTTTTGTCGGCACTTTAAAGGATTGACAGAATGAAAATATTCATTGACTACAGTCATATATATATCGAAGGATTTATTACCACAATTGTGCAACCAAGATGCTTTCTAACGAAGTGAGGACAAAATAATTATTTGCTTCTGACTGATAAAAAGTCTGAAATTCAATTCTAAAATGTTTCTTTATTACTTACAAATATTGCATCATATTGAGAAAACGTTTTACAACTTATAAAATCCTAAAAGTGTAGTTCATTCATACCACTTCACATTTCATTGCCTAAAATTGTTTTTAGCTAAATGTGGAAAGTTAAGCTGTCATAATAACATGATTGGTACAAGAGTAGTTGATGTTTCGTTATACTTCTTACACTTAACTTAAGAATGTTACAAGCTAGAATAATCGAAATAATCACACACAATCATTCTACCAAGGATGCTTTCAGTACATGTTGCCTTGTGTTTCAGCAATTGCTAATCAATTAAAAACAAATCATAATTGATGATACATTTTCAAAATAGAATTACATGAGTGAGAGTTAATGTATGATAAATGAAGCTAGAAGTTATAGTTAGCTTACTGTTTCGTAGAACAATTATTAGTGCTTAGATTTTGGAAACCTTATGATTCATTAGATTGACTTCTGATTCACACTAACTAATTTGTTTAATAAGTTAATCAGAAAGTGTTGTGTATATAATAAGGGAACCAATAATAGATTGATTCCGAAATAAACAATTAATAAAATGATAAACAGTCTCACCTAAAAAGGTTATAAAATCTTATTTTCAACTTACCTTACGATCTTCGTCGAATATAACTTCCTTATCTGAGATAAAATTATACATTTGTTCTTTGGTCCATTTCAAATGACGTCCAACAAAATATGTTTGTAAGGTGTTTAAAGTACTGGTTAATACAGATAAGTAAACCATTTCATCTTGTAAACTTGTCCAATAATTGGCAAGTTGTAGAAATCCAGGCTAATGTTTAGGAACATATAAATTCATTCATTACAAAGGTATATACATAGGACAGTTTTCAGATTGAACAGTTTAGCTACTATATATATATATATATATATATATATATATATATATATATAATAAAACATTGTTCAGCATATCGATAAATGATAATAACATGAGATAGAAGTAACTCAATGAATATCTTACATAGACTTCGTTACTTGGAACGGCTGGACGATCACTTATTAGATTATGCAATTTTTTCATACAATTTTTAAAGCTTTCAATTATTTTCTCTATTTCTTCCAACATTTGATTAAGCTCGCATTCAATAATTCTTAGAAATTTCCCGTATTGTCTAGCGTTGACTACAGAAGCTCTCAAGTTTTCCGGTGTAATATCCATTTCCTTAGCAGACTTTATTAAAGCTTTAACATCAGTAGTTGAGTCAACAGTAGATAGTTTCAAGAAAAGACCTTTCAAAGGAAAAAAAGAAATATTCACCAACGCAAACTGTTTGACTGAAATATCTGAACCGTAAAGCGTTGTATAGATTTTTGCATAAAACACTAAATTATCCTAATACACGAACTTCAATATTTTTATTTATTAACCAAATTGATAATGCACCAGTATTTGAGTTCGTATTTCAATGAATTTAGATATACTAGATAAACTTTTTAAATCAATACATTTCAGAGTAACAATTTATGACTATTTATAGATAAAATTATATTATGACGATTTATGTTATCAAAGGTCAAAATAATATATCTTAACGATCTACTTCAGAAAGCATAATTTTCAGACTGGATATTTGATAAGTGGATATCATTTGAAGTCATTATTCAGCATTATAAACACAATAATCAAACATTGTTATTTAGTTAGCAAAGTCATTTCAGACTGGCAGCCTGAACACATTTAATTTATGCCAACATATTATTTGCAACTGTCAACTAATTTCAAAGTGAGAATCTTCAATACGAACGTCAAGACAGTCCTATTGTACGGAGCTGAGATATGGAGAACTACTACATCCATCGTCAAGAAGGTACAAGTATTTATAAACAGTTGTCTATGCAAAATACTCAACATACACTGGCTGGATACTATTAAGGGAGAGGACAAACCAGCTTCCAGCTGAAAAGGAAATTAGCAAAAGACGTTGGAAGTGGATCGGACATTAAGGAAATCACCAAACTGCATCACGAGGCGATCCCTAACTTGGAATCCAGAAGGAAAGCGGAAAAGGGGGAGACAAAAGAATACATTACGCCGGAAAATAGAAGCAGATATGGAAAGGATGAATAACAACTGGAAAAGATTGCCCAGGAGAGGGTTGGATGGAGAATACTGGTGTGTGGTCTATGCATCACCACTAGGGGTAACAGGCGTAAGTAAGTAACACAACATTTATTCCTGGTGCTAAACAGCGTAAGTAGGTTATTTTTCACTGATAAGGCAATAGTGAACTTTATAAAACCCAAACAAAATGAGCATTTTATGATATTTTATAACTTTTCAATTGAGTGTTCAGCCTAAAATATACTACTCAGTCTCAATTAGTAGTGTACGCGTTAATAAATAAAAATTATATATTTGTAATATCCCAATGAGTACAACAAGCCACCTATTGAATCCTATCAAAAATGAAATCCTAAATACCAAAAAATACGTTACTTTATCAAATAACAAATGATTTTTTTTTAAAAGTCATTTACAAGTGATACATACTTGTGTAAATAGCAGCAAGTTCATCTGATTTTTTAATTTCCTCATTAATTGTTTCTAATGTAATAGGCACTCCTTCACTCAATAAATGGGGAACTAAATAAAATATATTTAGATGAAACAATTTAATTTTGGTTGCTTTAAATAATTAAATTGAAAATTTACTTTAAATATATATTCTGTAATGTTGACTTTTGGATATAAATTATCTTCAAATTGAATAGATCACTAGAAATCTTCAAACTAAACCTGGGTTCCAGGTTTTCCATGGTCGTATAGCTTCAATTGACTCATGATTTCAACTATGTAAATACTGAAATCTCCACAAAACCCCTTTTGATAAATAATAATAATCACATGTTTATGAAAATTTGTATTTTGATGATTTTCTTTATCATGATGGAATGTGATAACTCAGACTCCTCACAAACATTTTAAAATATTGTTAAACGTTTTAAAACTTTTTCTAAAAAGTCATTAATTTCATGATTTCTCATTGTTTCAATTATTCAGTTATTGTGAACATATTGGAGATTAGAAACTGCAACATTCTTCATAACAAAAATACCATGATCTTCATGTGGTATGTGATACTGGTGTAGACAGATATAAGTAGTGTGTATCACCAATCGAAAGTGAAATACCCGGACACAGAAGGTTTAATAGATAGAAAAAAAAGAACATGGAAAGAGAATGACTGCTGTGGAAATTAAGGGACAGTCAAGTTTGAGACAACTGGTTGACACTTTGAAAATGCAGTATTTACTGGATGGTTCTTAGATTTTACTAAGATGTTCTGCAATTTTGTGCTGAAATACATTCAAGTATCCTCACTTATGTTCTCATTTATTGTAATATCAATGTCATTTCTTTTAGTTTTCTAACAAACATAAGCAACGACCACACATATATGAATTTAAACCAATCATATTTCAGGTGACCAGGACAATATGTCAGTCAGTGGTGGAGAGATTCCAATAACTCACTTCTTTTTGAAGTAGGTGCTAATGATCTTTTTCAGAAGAACAATAAAAGCTTCCAAACCAACCCTTCTAGCTCAGAGATCACAAAAACTCCAGTATCTCCATCCTGAGCAACGGATATACCCCATCGTATACTACAAGTACTTTAACTACAATATTCATATTTTATTAAATTTTTAAACGTAAGTATACTGACCGGAAAGCCATTATTCAACTTCTTAACAATAAATCCAGACAAAAGGAAATAGTCATTGACGGTGAAGTTAACTTACGATCATCAATTCCAGCTCCTCCTTTATTACAGTCTTTGTTATACAGACGTATACCAGTGACCAGACCAGTAAATTCATACAGTTGTTTCCTTTTTTGATTAGCATTGGCTGACAAAAAGCTTGCAATATCTGTCTGCGGAAATATACTTTGAAGTGCAGCTAATAAACGAGAGAACAGAAGCGCTTAAAATATTATATCTGAAATTCAAAGTAGATAAACATCAAGATATAGATAAATTCCGTCTGTACTTAACGTGCACTAGATAAGACATTGTATCCATTCAATCAAATAACGATGAAACTAATAATTTAGTCTATTCCTACTTTTTAATATAGACTGCTGTGCATAATACGTTCGTCAAAAAGTCTTTCATTCAAACTTCATTATATATATATATATATATATATATATATATATATATATATATATATATATATAGCGTTGTTGCAATCTATTCAGGTTAAAATTATGCACACTTATAGCATTTGCTAATATATTTATTTACCTTTACACAGCACATAAATCCATCAGTCGATAGATATATTTGAAGTTTTGACAACAAAAGAAGCAAACTTATGAGAATATCAATCTAATGAAGGCTCTTTCACATACATGATTGGTGTTTTGTGAGCTTATCGATTGGTAAAGTTATGTCATCCAGAAAAGATAACTTCCACATTGATTCAAATTTTTCAGATTTATAATTCTAGAGATAGCTAACTTTGGTTGGCTCCCGGAGAACTAACTATGAGCCTAGAGACACTGTCACCGGAAAAAAGTAGTCATATTTCTGCTTGTCAAATACGTCATCAAAATGTTTAGTATTAGAGATGAGACACATTTCTCCTTTTTTCCGCGGAATTGAAGTTTTGCTTCTGAACTAATTTGCAACGGTGTCTAGTCCAACAACGCGAAGAGAAGCGGTTCGTTATATTCAGCACCTAGCCTAAAAGTTTATTCATATATGATGAGCTGATAGCTGAAAGACCTCAATATGAATATGAAAAATTCAAATGACCTCCGGTATTTCACACTACCAGTCAATCGGACAAGATAAACGTTTGTATGACAAACATTATACATAATGCTCATCAGGTTATTTCCCACTACATGGCTGTGGAAGATCATTTTGAAGAAAAAGTTTTCCTTTTATTACAACTCTGTTCACAATATTGTATGCACAAGAGAAAACCACCACGTGTGTTTTGCAGAAGCTAAGTACAGGACATTAGATGTATTTAATAAGCTTGATAGTAAGTCTGAAAACTTCACTGGCTAAAATGGTTTGGACATTTGTCAGGAATGCGAAACCACTAACAACATTGGCGAGTAGACGTGTCTAGCATATGCGTGTGTCTAAAGAATATTAAAGGCTGAACTCAAACGTATACTTGCATTTTAGATTCTTCATTTCAGTTAGTAATATTTTTCCGCTTACTTGTCTACTCAATTAGTTAGTTTTCCTTCGCTCTGCGATGATACATGTGGAAAACTTAAACCACGGACATTTGTGTTAGATCCTAGATTGCTTATGAATGTTTGACTTAAACACGTTGTATAACATGATATTACGTTTTTAGAGAGATATCCGTCCTCTGAGTTTCATACTTTCAAAGTTCCACGGAACTGGTCAGGTCATTTTATTGGTGTAGATTTCTAAACTCAGAGTGATGAAGTTTAAAAATACACGTATATCCATAAATATTCACGGGTTTACATGTGACTAACTGATTTTTGGATTCATCACATAGCTCATTGATAAATAAGATTATATATGTAGCTTAATATAAAAGGAGGATTCTGAAACCTAATTACACATGCTAGAATTAAAAAACGTAATTTTCAGTCTCAAAAGCCTTCTGTTTTGTAGCTTAAAAGGAAAAGCAAACTTTCATTAGCTCACCTGTAGCTTCTCTGATAACTTCCATATTTGTTGGAGATCCAAGACCTGACCTTAATAATATAGCTGATATAATATTTTGATAAGTAGCTTCCAGTTCTTCCCGTAATTTCGCCCGACTCTCTATAGCTTCGCGTAATACAGGTTCCAAACGCTTTTCCAGCACACGATGATGCTCGGTTAGGAATTCATCTGGGAATCATTCGGCAATTTTATTGGAATAATTAGAGCAAAGGCATAGGTACGTAATTACTTTTAATGTTCGTATGATACACCACCAACGCTAAAATAAGCCTGGCTTTTGCTTGGATGACTTTACCTCAACGTTTCATAAATACTTGAAACCATATAAAGTGATGTTCATTTTTACCCAGTGTTCCATTAAAATAATCAATCCATTCTGGAAGAGGTCAGCCTCAGTGGAGATTTCTCTAGACACAACGCCAGGTTACTCTACTTCAAGTCATTAAAAAAGAAAACGCCTCCTCAATGTCTATCTGATCAGTGTAAAATGGAACGAAATCGGGTCAAGGAATTACTTCTGACAAAATTTATTCACCTTATATAACCAACTTTCGAATAAAGGGTCCTTAATCATAGGTTTAAAAACACTTTAATTGATCATATTTTAAATTATTAAGTATTAAAATAAAGGATTACTAGACAAGACATGAGCTTTTGAGACAAAGATGGGCTATCTCGCGGAAAGTTAAAGTTACTGATATGCATAATTGGTGAAATTTTCGCACAGTTAATATCTTTAATTGTTACCTAACTTTGTGCGCTATCCTTTCTTATCGCGTGCAATCCTAATGACAATAAAGTTTCGAATCTGTTTTTCGTAATTAACTGTATTTAGCTTTCATAATAATGAGTTTCTACTATAATGTGGGATCACTTGTGATGGCAATATGTATAGATGTGACATTGCAAGGAGTTTTTGTGTAACACGATTTGTCAAATGAATCACAATACACAGTTTACGTATTTGCTACTCTTAGAGAAAAGTTGACCGAAAACCAGAAATAATACATACTTTTGGCATCTATCATTTTCAGGAAAGCGATTACTAGTAAAGCATAAATAAACAGATAATAGAATATTCATACAAGTATTTATTGATAACAAAGTTGACTTCACTTCCCATTAATCATATGAATCATTATATGTGCATAACAAAACAACTCCTGAAACGTTAGATTTTAATGGTTTCAAAAACCAAGCAAAAGAACAGATAATTCTCCCTCTATTTTGCTTCCAAGTTAAAGCATATATTAAAGTGAATTGCAAACATGAAATTTTCTTGATTTAAATAGATTTGAAAAATTCATATCTACTTTCTAAGTGAAATCTATATGGTATGTAACCTAAAACGCCGAAGCTCTTAATTCATTGTTTATGTTCATATGTATCTCAGATGAAATTTGCAGTAAATGGTCTACTGATTTACCACTGATCCCATGGACATTCAAGAATGACTGATATTGAAGAAGTTGATGTCAGGTAGATGAAGTTAGGTTTTCCGAGGATATATAATGACCAAAACTCTACGATTTTTAAGCAGTGTAGGGAATTCGTAAAAAAAGATCATGTTAAATCACCTTTTTTAAGATGATTTACTTCGAAGAAAACCTGCATTTTTATTGTATCAATTGATGGTGACCCTTGATCAGTTATTCTGTTAACACATAGCTATACAGAAATATGAATCAAATATTCGATTACTTCAATCAGTTTTTTAATATCCTCATTGTCCAGTGGTTTATCGGGTAGAAATCCCGAAGCAGGATCAAGAACAACCGCTTTAACCTAGAAAATCGTTACATCGTGATTTAAATTTATTCACTCAATACGATAAATGCCACGAGGGTCTCAGAGACGTCATGTCCTCTTAAAACACATTGTTGAGCTATTTGTTTAATTATCCTGGTAATAACACCTTCAGCTTGAACATTTGTCATTACTGTTATTTAAATAATTTCATATAAGTAAGCACTATAGCAAACACGAAGTTAAACAACAACTGCAAGTAATCAGTTAAGTCTCTGTAGGACAAAATAATAGATGACATGAGTTAGTCCTGGAGATAAAAATTTCTCAAATAACTTAACTTTATTTTAAAAGCATATGCAGATAGATCTTCAACCATGTATCGAGATAAACAGTTCTACTTGAAGATTCAATGGGAAAATCAGCGGTCAGTATAGAAGTAAATAGTACCAGGTTTTTATTCATTTTTAGAGTTACTTTATAAGTGCCCTGTTAAGGTAGGTAAGAAAGGTGAGTTGTTATCAGATGCATAATTAATCATATGTAATTGAATCCGAACACTATTTGAAAAAGACAATGCCAATTTTCTTAACCAAGTTTATTTTATCTTGCAGATGATTTACGAAGCGTCAAGCACTCTGTTCTGGCCTCAAATGAATTTATTACAGTCACAGTAAACGCCGAGAGTATCGTATTTTTCCCAAAGTAATTTTGAGTACATTAGCAAAAAGGACAGTGGTACTTTTCCTCTTACAGTAATTTTTTAGTATTGATTGTATCCAGAGGTGTAATGGCTTTTTTTGGATTTTTCCAAGTTGGATTCTTGTTTTCAGTAACAGTAACATACAAACTTCAGCTTTTCGTGCCCAGTATCCATCGCCTTTAAAGACTTAAAAAACACTTATTCTAGAGATCAGATTCTTTATTATTCTCTCTGCGAGATCGCTCAACATTTTTATGGCGCAAGTAAAACCTCATTATGGTGGGTTCGTGTGTTTTTTCCTACCGGGGATTAAGGGAGTTTCAGTCATGATTACAAGAAGAAAGAAAAAGGACTCTGAAATTCTTAAGTTTAGATTGTACAATCACCATTAAAAGAGTTGGAAAGGTTTGAGGTTGATTAGTCCATATAATGTAGACCAAGAGGGTCTGAAACTTATGACAGCTATTGCTCGTATCACAGAAGGAAGGATTATTCTATATGAATCGTAGGAGCACCAGTAAGTTTAATTGTCGACCCACTGCCAACACTGTCGACATGTCTTTTGAGCAGTCAAAACTGCCAAGACATAGGTAGGAAGCAGTGATGAGTCCGACCATGAAAATGGGTTTAGAAGTTTGGCAACTAACTATTGGTCAGTCAATGCGACTGGTGTTGTGATCAGAATAATGAGGAAGATTAATTGGGTTGTCATTCCTCGTCAAATTGAAGGGGGTAATCTCTAGGCAAGGAACGACACCGTTTTAAAAAAGATATTTCATGTTTGTCTAATCTTGCTGTTACAAGGGAAGATAGGGGATTAGCTTAAGATGGAAGCATTCAAGAAGCCATCTATAAGGACTCCTATTTAGGTCTTACATTAGAACTGGAATATTTTGAAATGAATGGTAGAACTTGTGGATGGATAATTAAATTTCTCATTTAAAGGAGACGCCAAGTGAAAGTGACCAGTTTTTTATCATCATGGGGATTCGTAAAGAGAGGAATTACTAAAAAGACAATCCTATAGGGAGACGTGTGCGTGCTGATTGACTGGCCAAGTAGGTGCTCATTAGAAGTAACCTGTGACAAGAGTGTAGTAGTCCAAATCCGTCGCCATAAAGATCTATGTAACTACACCTGGGGTGAAATGGAGCTGAAAGAAGTTATTAATGATGAAGACTCGGGAGTCATTGATAGTAATGACCTAAAAACGACGTTTGACTAAGAGGCAGCTACTTCCAGACGCTTTCAGATCATTTTGGTCTATTCGTAGATCGTTTTTTACTTTAGATACTTTGACAAGCGAGAAATGAGTCTTTTCGAACGGGAATCCCAGTATCTCTGAATGTTGCTTCGTACTTTGAATGGAGAAATGCTTAGGATATTGTACCCAGCGTATGCAAGACCACATTTAGGATCTGGAATCCAGATAGAGAAGCATTCTTTAAGCTGTGAAGTGGATATGCCTCGAAGTGTTCGACTGTGAGGGACCGAGATAGTGAAAAATCATTCAGACCTGCCTTATAAAGTAGAATGAGATACTCGACCTACTTCCAACATATTACTGTAGTTTATGAGGTAAATTAACACTGACTTGCCGTATACTGAACGATAAGTTTCGCATTATTATTTGCTATATTTATCTTTCACCTAAGATTGGTCGTACTAGAAGGAATTCTCAGACAGTTCAGAAGCCATCATCAAATCGTCTACGTCTAGAGTTTCTCTTTTCAGATCGAGTTGTAAATTATTAAAACTGTCTAACAGTACATGTAGTACCAACACCTTCGGTTGACACATACAAAGGGATATTGAGTCTTCACAGTAATAGAAATCGGAAGGTTTAACATAGGTCACTTGATCTGTCATTCTCATCTCTAAAGACTAAGGGTTGAAACACCTAAGGCGCCGATCCGGCCTGTGCGTTACGCCTACAATTCATAATCGCTAAAGTACTCTTCGGTTTCATATCCATACGTTAGATATAATGATGCATAATTCACACTAAAATTACAACAGTGCGATTTCTGTTTTTTAATTCATAGTGAAATGGATGACATTGTTTTGATTGCTGGGTTCGCAGTGAGATATTGAATCTTCGTAATAATAAAATCTCAGACAAACAGATATAGATAAATAACGTCGAACTATTGAAAAGTATGCCGGCTTGTAATTAAGAAAATGTGATTTCGTTTCTCTGATATATCTACAGAAAGTCATTTTTTCCAACCAAGACGGTGTGACAATGAAGTACTTCGCCCAGATATTTTTTATGTGGCGAACATTTAACTGGCGTATAAATCCGACTTCCATAGCCTAATAATGTTTGGTAAATCTCATCCAAGTCGTGCCTAATTTGCTGATAATATGACTGGTAGAAAAAAGTGGATTTATTTGCTCATAACAGAACATCTGATTATGAAAAGATGCTGTAAAAGACTGGCACCTCTCAAATCACCAAAGCTTTCAGATTGAGGCTTTATACGCGGTTCGACTGGGTAGTTTCAACAGGTGTCAGAAATGGCTCGTAATAGAAACTATTGGCAGTTGTAGAGTAGTCCTTTCATACACACTTTAATAATTTTGAGATGAACTCACGTAACTCTATGAAATTTTTCTCGGCTGTATTTTTAAGTGGACTATGTCTTTCATCAAATATTATTTCCATTTATTTAATCGTTGACTGTATGACTCCTTTATTTCATGTCACTCCATTTTTGCCGGGGCATCATTTTCGGCACCCAGTTTTATCGGAGTACATATGTGCTGTAAGTAAGCAAGAAAAGTAGTGGAAACTCACATGTAAAGTACGGTTTACAGCTTTCTACCTAATTATGTCTACAGACTTCCAGTTCTTTACTCAGTCGTTTTAACCTTTTCATATATATTGATTTTATTCATGAACTTAGTTGTATGGATTAGATACTTCCCACTCCGTTTGTAGCATTCTCCGAGAGATTAAAGTACATGTACTGGTTATTGACTTTCTGGTGTTCAAGGACTGGCGAGTAAACAGCAATGCTTGGAGACGCTCCTCCCACAAAAAGGTGGAACAACTGCCTATACAATAATCGTGGTTTACCTGATAATTATGTAGATTCAGATTTCTTGTCTGAATTAAAAGAAAACCGTTAGTTGCAATTAATCAATCTGGTAATAATTAGTGTTTCTACCCAGACTTCGAGCACGTAATGTTATAATCGCTGCTGGCAGCATTTATCAACAACTCTGTTGGTATGTTCTATTCATCTCTACCTTAGTACAGTTTGTCTTTGTTTGTAATTATCTATTTTTACCTACTGTTCGGATGGATTTCTCCACAGCATCTCAATATTTACCTTTTCTTCTTAATAACTACTGGGTATGCCATGTTTTGGTTAATGAAGGAGGAAAATGAAAGACAATTTCATAAAGGTAACTGTTGGCTTCACGTAAGTTCAATTTTATACATTTAAGGTTTCGTGAAAAAAATAATTATTAAACCGTAAGACAAATCAGGACTTAACTACTTGCCCAATTGTTACTGTGGGATATTGTAGCTTTTTAATAAGGCTTAGATAGATCATGGTGATGAGAAACACTTCATTCCTGGTCCTTCAATATCTATAATATTATGGGGTAAAGTTGCTCCGGTATTTCTCCCCCTTGTGATCTTAGTTTATACATAGATTTCTTGTTAATAAGGGAATATTCAGTCAGTCAGTCAGCTACAACGTAGGACCAGGCACATTTATGCATCGGTCCATGTTGCCATACCTCGTTAGCACAACAAGATGAACACCGGATTCATAGAAGTAATTAATTTAGTGGTGGTAGTAGTATATAAATTATAGGTTGTATATAATGATATAGTATAGGAAGGAAGAGAGATATGAAGCAATTTTAGTCTCAAGGTTTAAAGGAAGATAAAGAGTGTATACACCTACGCCATTGTGATCGATTCTGAGCCATGTCACCTAGAGTCTCCAACCATTGGTTACGATAGTCATGCGGACCCCAACCAGGTAGTCTGCATCTGCCAACATGGCTCAGACTAGAAGTTATTGACTTCAAACACTGATGCCATGTTTTGGTTTGGCCGCCCCTAACTCTCTTCCAACAATCCCCTACACTAGTCATCATAGCGCGTCGTGGTAATCGGTGTTCAGGCATACGTAACACATGGCCCAACCATCTCAGTCGATGAAGATTCATCACCTCATCAACTGATTTACCATCGTTCCCTAATACCCTGCGTCTAACCTCACTATTACTTACCCGGTGATCCCAGCAGATGCGAGCAATATTTCTAAGGCATCTGTGGTCAAATACTAGTAACCTACGAGTATCTTCTACTCTGAATGGCCATGTTTCACAGCCGTAAAGTAGAACAGAGCGAACTGCTGCGCAGTATACTCGTCCTTTAATTGATAGACGGATATCTCGTCTTCGCCATAGGTGACTTAAGTTGGCAAAAGCCAAACGAGCTTTTCGAATCCGTGCTGAGATTTCGTCAGACATCAACCCATTAGGGCTGATCAGACTTCCGAGATAAGTGAAGTTGTCAACGCGTTCGACTACTTCACTCCCTATCCTTAGTTCAGGTGTTGATGCAGGCCAGTCCTGGAATAACAATTTACATTTGGATGGGGAGAATCGCATCACAAACATCCTGGCATTATTACTGAGTTCCAACAGAAGACTGCATTTTGCCAGCGTCTTCACCAAACAGGACTATGTCATCTGCGTATTCTAAGTCGCTTAGTGGTCCCCCTGGTAGGAGATCAATTCCTGTAAATTCAGTCGAAGAGAGTGTTATTTCCAGCAACAAGTCTATAATGAAGTTAAACAAAAATGGGGATAGTGGACAGCCTTGACGGACACCACTTGAGGTTGTAAAATCATATGACAGTTCGCCATAAGCTCTCACTCGACTGGTAGTGTTCGAGTAAAGAGCCTTCACAAGGTTTATGTACTTCTCAGGTACACCTTTCAATGACAGACACTGCCACAGAACCTCTCGGTCTACAGAGTCAAATGCTGCTTTCAAGTCAAGAAAAACTATCATTGTCGGACGCCGATAAGCATGTCTGTGCTCTAAAACTTGACGAATGGTGAATATGTGGTCCATACAGCCACGACCAGGTCCGAAGCCAGCCTGATTTTCTCGTGTTCGCAGTTCACGAGTCTTAGTTAGGCGCCCGATAATTATTGAGGCTAGTATTTCAGATGCTATGTTGGTCAGACTAATCCCTCTATGGTTATCGCAGGATGGGATTTCATCCGTCTCCCAGATTTTAGCCAGAATATTAGTCAACCTAATCACTAAAATCGAACCACCATATTTAAAGACCTCTGGAGCCAATCCATCTGGACCAGCTGCTCTTCCTCGTTTCAGATTACCTATAGCCTTTTGAACTTCAAGTAGGGTCGGGGGGCCTACTTCAATGTTCCATTCAGGTTTTCTAGGAATAGTGGGTAGTTGTGCAGTAGCTGAAGGCCAGCTAAGTCAGTCAGTCAGTCACAACGTAGAACTTCGTACGTACGTACATCAGTTCGAGTTGCCATACCACATTAGCACAGAGATGCAGTTGTCGATTCAATTCCCATAGTGGTAGAAGTAGTAGGAGTATAATCAGAAATCCAAAAGATTAGGGTTTGAAGAAATTATTGAAGGAGTATAGTACAGTGAAATAAATTTGGAAAGAGAAAAAGATAAATACATGAGGAATTCAGAAGATTAGAATTTGGTAGAACACAAAGAGTGGATGCATCTTCGCCATTGCAAACGATTTTGAGCCATGTCATTCAAGGTCTCTAACCATCGGTTGCTGTCATCTCGCGAATCCCAACCAGGTAGTCTACACCTACCAACATGGCCCAGTCCACTTGTCAGTGACTTCATTGATTTGTGTCACGTTTTGGTCTGGCCACCCCTAGCTTTCTTCCAACCTACTCCTACACCATGAAACATTGCACGTCGGGGCAGTCGGTGGTCGGGCATACGTAACACATGTCCCAGCCATCTCAACTGATGAAGTTTCACTACTTCATAAATCGATTTGCCATCCCTACCTAGCACTCGTTTCCTAACAACTGCATTACTTACCCGGTGGTCCCAGGATATACGAGCAATGCTTCGAAGACACCTATGATCGAACACTAGTAGTCTACGAATATCCTCTACTCTTATTGGCCATGTTTCACTGCCATAAAGTAGGACGGAGCGAACTGCTGCACAGTAAACCCGTCCTTTGGTTGCTAGACGGATATCTCGCCTACTCCATAAATGACGCAAGTTGGCGAAAGCTAGACGAGCCTTCTGTATCCGTGCTGAGATTTCGTCACATACCAGACCACAAGGGCTGATGAGACTCCCAAGATAAGTGAAGCGGTCGACACGCTCAACTACTTCACTCCCTATCATTAGTTCAGGTGTCGCTGCAACCCAATCCTGAAGCAACATTTTGCACTTCGAGGGAGAGAATCGCATTCCGAAGAAGGCCAGCTAAACTGCTCATTAAAGTGTTCCGCCCATCGTTCTAAACGTTTGGGTTGAGAGTAGATAAGGGTTCCGTCTTTTTCGGAGATTGTCTCACTTACACTTGACTTCTTAATTCCGGTTTCTTTTATTAGTCTGAATAGTTGCCTGGTGTTCCCTACAGCCGCTGCCTTTTCCATCTCTTTTACTTTCGTTGCCCACCACTGCTCACGATCGTTCCTTAGACTTTTAGTTAACCTAGTTCTAATTTGTTTACGCTCTTCGTCATGTTCAGAGCCTGATGAGATGAGTTTACGCGAATCCATCAGTGAAATAGACTTAGAGGAAATCCACTGGTTTTTTGGAGCCCTATGGTTTGAATGACTAATAGATGTTACTGCCGTTTCCACAGCTGTTCGTATGTCTTTCCAAGCAGCATCTGTGTCAGTCTTGTTTACAGAACTGCCTAGATGTGAACTCAGTTGTTTCTGGAATTCGCATTTGGCTTTCTCGTCCTCCAGTTCAATCCTAATGGGTCTTCTTAGTGTACTTTTCCTGCGTCCATTGAGGCGCAGACAAATGCGCGCTCGTAATAAAGCGTGATCAGAGACTAAACAAGTATTCCAATACGAGCGACAATCTTCTATTGAGCCTCTCCAACGATGACTGATGACAATATGGTCTATTTGAGTCCATCGTTGGTTTGGTGCAGGTGTTCGCCATGTTAGACGATGTCTCTCCTTATGTTTAAAATTAGTGCTTGCTAGAAATAAACGATTGTCTGAGCATAGTTGCAACAGACGATCACCATTATGGGTTCGTTGAGCCGGAATACTAAAACACCCACCTAAATGTCTTTCTGTTTGATTCAAGCTGCCTACCTGGGCATTAAAGTCACCCGCTATGAGTACTATGTCTGAGCGCTTAGCTTTCTGAAGAAGCTCAGAGAGCTTTCTGTAAAAGTCATCTTTCACTTCATCATGGCTGCAGTCGGTGGGAGCGTAGGCAGAAACGACGAAAAGGCAACGACGTGTGTCCTTGTCCTTCCGAGTTCTTACGGAGCCATTCAGCCGGACAGCACACAGGCGACTGTTAACGGGGATCCATTCTAATAGTGCCTGTTCTGCCCTTGTACTTAGTGCTATACCTACACCTGCAAGTCCGCGAGAACTAGCCAACGGGTCGCCAGATACACGGAGAGTGTATCTCGTTGGCTGTCCATTTTGGCGAGGTGAGGTCAAGTGAATGACCACACTGGGATCCTGTATGCGTGTTTCGGAGACACAGCATACATCAATGGTACGAGATTCTAGGGTCTTAGCCAAGAAGGCCTGTTGACCGATTTGACTTAAAGTACGTAAGTTGAAGGCTCCAATGTATAGTTTGGAGCGAGGTTTAAGTAGACCTGGGACAGCGTTTCGCGCACTAGAATTGTTGGCCATGGTGACACTTGAGGAGGAAACCGGAACAGGAAGTTTAGTGTTGAAAGTCAAGGTAGAAGGAATAGTAGGAATTGAAGGAGGTTGATTATGAATACGGTGGTCTTGAGTGCTGTTAGGGGTATGAGGGCAGTTATCACTTCCCGGTTGCCCACACCGTGGAAGGGTTCTCCTGGGGGTACCTGAAAAGGAAATTGGGTTAGAAGTGGTCTTAATGACCTGAGAGCGTGACCGCAGTGCCCAAGGGACAACTGCTTGAGGTCAGTCACACACGACCTTTTTGTGGGTAGTTTTTGTGCTAGCTCCGTTCTTCAAAAAAACCTCACCGCCGGAGACGGATATCCGTGGGATAAGGCGAGGTGTGCATTTTTAGGGCCGACCTTTTCTAACCCCACCCCTCCTTGTGGGAAGGCAGCATCGCTGTCATGCTGGTTGTCTGAAGGAAACACCTTACTGCCGTCACACCTCTGTACAGTCGACAGTACGACTTCGCCTTCGGACCTTGGGTTTGCTGCTTTTAGTCTCACCGCTCTTCAACCGACCTGTCTGGCATGGTAGGACCTCGAGGAACGATTATTCCAGCCAGCATAGCTCGATTGCTTCATCACGATAGGCAAGCCCGACCGCCACGTCAAGGTAGCAGCAACGGTCGGGAAAAAAAATAAAAAATAAGGGAATATTAATGCAATAGATTTACATGTGATTGTAAATCAGAAATCTGTTCAGCTTATAGCGTTTAATTTACTCTCTGACAAGTGGCCTACTTTTGGAAATATGAACAAATATCTAGTTATAACCACAAAAGTAATCTGCAAGTCTGGGTAAACTCGTGTTCTGATCAATGGGTCATCTATTGTTCAAATAACAGGGAAGAACCTTAAATGATAGGTAATAAGCAATATATGATATGGGCGAGTGATGGATGCTCACAAGGATGAGTTACTGACGTAAGTCCCTGATTGATTTGAAATTTTAAAAACCACTGTCCAAAAGATTAGGCAATTCGCATACTAAGTCCATATCCATATATATGAGATCTTAGTATAAAATTTCACAAGTAATTGATGGAAACCACCTTGTACATCGCTCACTGTAATCGATTAAGATAGTTGTTAGGCCAAACCTTCGGCATTATGTCAGCTTTTAAATTGAAAATAGATATATTGAACCATACCACTAAATGTTTTACATGGACTTTCAAAATTCTACTTAGTTATGCAAAGAAGTCGACTACACGTACAATCGACTCAGTAGAGTTTACCGATTCCTTATGCTTTTGCGTCAACCATTGTCTAATCTAAGTAAACAGCTAGTGCGAATAATTGGATATTTCGAAATATATCTTTACTGCTAACCTAACAGTATCATCACTACACTTAGTACTTCCGTATATGAGTACTGAATTTCCCTTCTGTTGTCGTTATGTCACTTATGTTTTTTTTTAATTTTTAGTCATACCTGAAATCAAGTCGGGCGTGGTATTTTTTACATTTTGCTTTCTGCTTGCTCCTATTCTGCATTCTCTCTTATCGAGCGTAAGCACGGACTCTATATACGCCATGTGTACTTTTTTCCTTCTTGTGTATTGGACATGTTTTGATTATAAGACTCATTGGAAAGGGCATCCTCGAAAGCCTGGGTCAAATACTATTTCTCTGAGTTCTGCTTTGTTAGCTGCTCTCTGCTTGGCTAGTCGTCTACCTGGCCCTTATCATACTTTCGCATTGCTTTCCACTGCCGTCACTTTATTAGCGTTGTGGCCAGCATTAACAAGAAGGTTTCGCGTAAGTACAGTTACCCTTGTTTCAAATGATTGCTACTGTCGTAATGCCGCTTTAGAACTGTTTGTGTTGTGTATTTTTCAATGTTTTTCATTTAAACGTAAATGTTGGTAGGTCAAGCAAATGAACGTCAACTCGGATGCAGGTACATCCAGCTGACGAGCTCCAAGTGGGAAGAAACATGCGTCCTGGATTACACTGCTGGCTAATATTCAACTTTGCTGATAATTTTATTCTGTTTTTTGGGATTTTGCATCAATAATCCTTATAGTCTGAAATATCTTGTGTGTTTACACTTGTGTAAAAAAATAAAACTAATAACCGATTTGGTGGGCTAATGATGTCTTATTTGACCATCCTTACAGTCACCACTACCCAATTTTTCTACTTCCCTTGTTCGGCTTGCAGAATGTCATACTAACTTAAAATTTGTTCACTGCAGACGGTACCAAACGACTGAACGATTTGTCTGTAATTTTATTAATAAATTAAATAATTTTTATCCAGTAGATCCGTTACACGATTAGTCTTTCAAAGAGACGTTTTAATTAGATGGATAGTATACGCCTAATTATTTTTGCCCTTAAACGCTGCGTTTCGTATTCATAGAATAGGGCACAGCTAGTTACTAGACAATATAATTTTCCTTTTATTGGTGAGAGAATATCTGGCCGGTAGTACGACTAGGGTATGTCAGTGATTACCAAAGTTTTCTGTACGTAGATTTCGCGCACAATAAGTCTGCTATGATTGGTTCATAACTTCGTCCACCTCACTCTCCACTCTAAAACTGGATTCAGCGGGAAGTGGTGGATAATGTAAGTATGGCATACCTAGCATTGTCACATCTTACCCCAGTGTTCGGAAAGCCACATTTTTTCATGATAGCCTTGTAGAATTATGTTGTCTGTACGCCCCAATGATTTTTCTAGAAAGATCTACGCAACTGTATGATCATGACTGAAGCGTTTTTAGTAGCAAGGTACGCATCCTTAGGATTCCTACTTGACACAGTGAATCTCAATTTTCAAACAAAAGTTTACAGCTGACGCTTGGGATCGGCAAGTGGTATGGTTTTGTTATATACTCTGTCAAACATCAAGAATAATTTCGACACATCTCAGTGTAGGGACACAACTTTCAGTGTTTCCAAAATCCAGTAACTAATCACCAGATCACGATGACTTAAAAACATCTCGTTTAGTGAATCTAAATGGGACTGTAGTTTTAGTTTAACTTGCTCAATGAAGTGAGTTTAGTAAGGTTTTGTACAAATATTAATACGTGTAGTACAATAGGCAGTGCTGTATAACCAAACCAGAATAGTAAAGCTCTTAAACATTGTCTCGCGTTACACGATATTCCGCATTTTATGCGGAGCAATAAATTGCGTACATCGTTTAAGTATTAAAAAATCTGTACAAATTCGTTCACAGTGTAGTAGAATAAGTTCCTTAGCGCTGACATGTAAGAAGACTATGCATCCTAGATTGAGAAAGCCACTTAATTGTTGTGCTTCAATAATTCTGCTCAATAACAGGTACGACGTGGTAGACGAAGAATTACTTATACTGTGAATATCAAAATAAAAATGATCGAGGTAGCTGACTAACATTGTTAAATTTTTATATACTCAATTCAATATTAGGCAAATAAATTTCGTGATGACTTCGCAAAAGACAACTTCATTCATTATACGGAAAAAAACAGTATATAGGGCAATTAACCACATACATTTATTTTATAATTCATATAACACCAACCTGATATATAGTTTCTTATTCACTGAAGCTAATTAGTCCACAAAATATATGATGACACAAAATGACGTTCTCTAAAATGCTTTTATATTGTTACTGACTTTTATTCACATTTCAGAATAACGGAGGTGATCGAGCACAAATATGCTTAACCATATTATCCGGTTCTACAACTCTTCTGAGTGCTTGGCCGATAGTTTACAATGAAGTATCATTTGAATATAGATACATCTTTCTTTGCGTACTCATAACATCGACTCTGTGTATTAATTTTGCTGGACCGTGTTACTTATTAAGAATGCAGAAAATTAAAAGGTTCGTGAGTCAATCAGCTAGTTGGATTCCAAATCGCATTTATCATGATACATTTTTTTCTTACAAATTCTGAATACTCATAACTTGTTAAGTTGTTACAAAATTCAGTATTTTTATCTTTCAGAGATTTTCCAAGTACAAGCATGAATTTTTTTGTCATATGATCCTGCACCAGTTACAAACAATCTATCATTTGACATCGATTGGATAGAATCACTTAGTAGTCTTTGGTCAAAAAGTACTACGTTATTATAGACGTTTGAGATCGTTGTTGTGTAAGACACGATTCTGGTACCATTGGTTTTCACAATGATGCTTGTGTATGTTTAGGGTCGGTTCGTTTATATAAACGAGCTACTGTGTAAAATTAGTGCTTCATTAAAAACTGCAATGACACACGCACAATAAACGACATGAATCCTGACAAACAAATTTAATTTCATATTGTATAATCACAATTCCTCATAAATGTTTGATTTTCTTTGTAACAGGACTATCCATGGACCGTGGGATGAAGCTGTTATTGAATAAAACTGTATAGCGAGAATATTGTTTATTTAGCATATACATGATTACTTTTATACAACTCTCAAAACCCCTTACTGAGAAGAAATTTAGCCACCTCTTCTTGGAATAACCCTTCAATTTTTATACAACGTGTTACTTCATCTACTTGACAAAGAAACAGTCCAGCTTCACATTTCGGTTGAAGAATCGTCCGGAGATCATTAGCCAGAGCCTATAATATTGTTAAAAAAAAGGTTGTCATTCTTTCCTAAACATGTAAACAAAACAAAGAATTCACTTCGATTCCCTAAGCTTATCACTGAATAAATGATTTATTGCGTTTATTGTAAATGAGTTGACTTATTGATTTTTACTTCAAAACTATTTTCTCTTAAAACCATTGGATGCTAAGGAATTCATGCAACTTGTTTTAACTATGTAGTATCTCTGGCAAAGCCTGAGTTAATGTAAAGATACCGTAGTTTTTTTACTGTCTATAATTTAAGAAGTATGCAAGTAGATGTCCTTGTGATAACAAAAGCACAGGCAAAACAGATCGATTTTTGTGAAACGCTTGTAATGTTTAGTATGCTGGGGAATTCGTATGTTCTTTTGAAGTGAATTCCACAAGTTAGTAAATGTCAATCGAAGTTTCTGAATCCGCACTGAGATTTCGTCAGACATCAACCAATCTGGATCGATGAGAATCTTAAGACAGGTGAGACAGTCGACGCACTTAGTCACTTTACTTCCTATCACTAGTTCAGGCTCTGGCACAGGTTAATCCTGAAGTAAAATTTTGCATTTGAAGGAAGAGAATCGCATCCCAAACGTCTTCGCATTGTTGCTTAAAGATGGTTGGAAGGCCCATCATTTTGTCAGAATTTTCACCAAACAGAAATATATCTTCTGTAACTCTCAAGTCAAGAAGTGAATCCTCTGGTACGAGATCATCTCCTGAAAAGTCAGATGATGAGAGCGTTATTTCCAAAAGAATGTCTACGACAAAGTTAAATAAAGTGGACAGCCTTGACAAAAACCACTTGAAATTTACAATTCTGATGAAAGTTCGCCCTAAGCTCTGACTCAATCAGTAGTGTTCAAGTAGCAAGCCTATTCAAGAGTAATATGCTTTTTTAATACACGTTTCAATGACAGACACTGCACTACCATAGTAGCTGTCAGTCTACGGAATAAAATCTCACCTTAAGGTAAGAGGCTGATAGATGTCTGTGATTTATAAGTTTACCACTTGGTAAAATAGAGAGTATAGTAGTATAGTGCATAATAAGCATTTTACAATAATTCATGTACTTATTGTACTCTACTTTTATTACTTTATAATGTGGGCCTAACTTACTTGCATATCTCCATCAACATGTCTAATGACCGTCAGCTGTCGAGTCCCATGTGTATGCTCTTTTTTCTTTCTTTGTTTCTCTGCGTAATAAACGGGTAGCATGTGATTTTTCGACCTTCGGACAGAATAAGGTACATCCTTTGATAATTCAGCTGGCAGAAAAAAGGAAATGTACAATATTTACCAATAAAATATAACAGAGGAAGAAACAATATCAATCCTAAAATCTATACCACTCAGTGTGTATTGCATATACTTCCTACAAGATGACTTAATTGATAAAGGAACTAGGTGCTTTACGTAAAAAAGAATGATATTTTTGTTAAGTGGTAAATCGAGTGATAAGGCTATCAGAAAATACAGTTCAAATGAAAGCACGATTAAGTTAAGGTTGATTTTCTTCATAGTAATCCTTATAAACGGAAATACGATTTTTCTTTATATTTGATATTAGCTCGCCAATGAACCGTAGGATCCATATGGTTTCATGTGAAGGGTCCTGATGAACCAACGAATGCTAGCATGAACCACTAATCCTCGATGCAGTCACAGGCGGAGGACCTCACCGATGATCAATTAATAACACCCAGTATGGACAGTCAGAATTGCATGCATATGCATTCAAGCCTCCAAAGTGGGCATTACATGTCGTCAACGACCGGAAGGTCCACTAAACTACTCACAAATACAAGGGTTTTAGTCACCAGTATTTGAATTTTTTTATTGGTATTGCTATAACCGACCAAGGAGTCAGACTTTCGTAATCCAATTAGTATTATCTCAGTCATCAGATCAAATTAGCCAATTGATTAATTTAAATCTCCATATCATGGAGCGGGGGATAAGTGGTCGCTACTAAGAATTCTGTAAGGATGACTCATCATCCAGCAGAGAATATCTAAACTTTTACAGCACAAGTTTATTAAAGCTAAAATACTTGGATGAAGTAAATGTCTGCTGCTATTTATTTTATTTATTTAAACACATAAATATTGGTACAAGGAAGCACCAGATAAATATGCGCCTCACAAATCTCATTCGATTTGTGTGAGGGCTGTGATACTGCCCAGGTGTCCAGACTGAAGCAGGTAGTTTTCTTAGGGGGCCACACCCGGAGCCTTTGACCTGAATATCTGATCCACAAGGCAGTGGAGCATCGTGAGGAGATGCAGTCCCATGGTAGCCGGTGATCAACGGTTGATTCGTACGCCATTTGTTCCCTCAGGATACTGGAGCCCATGTGCACCATTGGTTTGGAATCAGGGTTTTCCAACTCCCCTAGGTGAACTTTCCATGTCCACCAACCCGGTTAAAGCGCCGGACATTCGCTCTTCGTCCTCTCACTTTCGTAAACAACACCCCCGCCACGAGAAGGCAGTGAGTAGGACTTCCCTGGCAGAGGCTATATATTCGCTGGCCATATGAGAGCATTTCGAGAGGGAGAGGTGACTCTCCCCACTCTCGGCCGTACCAATGCATTTGGGGGCTGTCCCGATAATATTTCCCAATTTTAAGGACCTGTGAAATATCTGTAATCATCATAAAAATTAATGTCTACACTAAATATGTATATGATTAAGTATCCTCTAACATGGTAACAGTGCAGCTGTTTCCTGATAACTGCTGAGGACGTGTAACTTTGAAACGATTAACGTGATTGGATTTTTGTAATCTTAAAATTGATTGGAATAACTAGCTGAATGCCTTGTGTGTATGAATGAAAGTTTGTGGGACTGAAAAACTGCGATTGGGGATTGGTCGGATTATACAGCACAGAAAGTCTGACCCGCAACTATATTTCAACATCTGAAACACAAGGATTTTAGATGGCACCTACACATAAACATATATTTTAGGCCCGATGCAAATCACGATGGCTTTTGTCATGTTTGGTGAAAAACTGAGTATTCATTTTTAATAGGCATCATTTTATAATATCTTTACACACCTCGATATGACAGAAATAATAATCAATAACTTATCAATAAATAAGCGGAATTTGTTTTAAGGCTTCCAATTGATATTATGGACTTTGCAAAAGATTTTCTACAAACTGACTGACACACTATGCCGCCTACTTATGTAAATTTATGGTAGGCAGTAAAAATAATTCGAATTATCATTACTACGACAAAAATACTTGGAAACAATTATCTAAGCTTTGAAATTCGTTGCGACTTATTCCATGAGAAGAATTAATGTAAAGCATTAAAAATATAGTGATGCTTGCGTACGGTTTGGGGGTATCCAGCCACTAGGAGTAGAAGCCACAATATTTTCAGGAAACGGGATTTTAGTGTTCTTCAGAATTTTCTCTACCCATACATATTCTGCTTGACTAATTTCATAATCCACTGGTTTTCTCTTCAGTAGATCGTTATCAGCCAAAGAGTCTTCAACCCATGGATTTTCCAACGTCGGCCACCACTGGACTCTTATTTGTCTATTGCAGACCTGAATTGATAACTCAAGTTTCTAAAAAAACTAACTTGGGCAATTGAAGCATATTTGAGTATTCTCCTGCACAAGACAATCCCAGAAAGCATATTTCCTGCTGCACGTTACGTATTGTTTTTAGGTCCTGTGAGTAAAATACATTCATAATTATAGTATCAAAATAAATCAGCGTTAGAAGTTTGCCTAGTACCAAAAATACAAATCACCAAGAATTACAAGCAACTTTACTAGCACAATGAGACAACATATGTATTATTCAACATGAATAATGGAATCACGATTATTTCTGAGATGGGAGGCCAAATGAATAATCCACATTTTCAATCACACTTACTGTGAGAGGAAAAGGATATTGATTAACAAAATGGACTACTTTTAGATAAAGAAATGAGAGGAAAAACATCATTAGAAATACGCGGTGTGTTCACCAAATACATTTCGAACAATCTGAGATCATGTATTAACTAATAAAACATTATGTATGAAAAAAAATAAAAGGTCGACTGGACAAATTAGAAGGTTAACGAAGACAAAGATAATAATAAAGAGCACGATGTGGAAACTGTACTGCATAAATCAGTACTACTAAGGTAGGTACAGAATAAGAACATATTGTTTCTGAACACATAAAAAGTTTTAGTTTTCGCGTGTCCAAGGCTACAGTCAATCTTAGTATAAGCCCTGAAACATTTGTATAACATAACAAAGGCTGACTTGACATCAAACCTAGAAATTGTCCCAAAAAATGTTTCACGATGGACGAAGATGTTTGTCTATCGACCACATATTCACCATTAGTCAGGTATTAGAACACAAGCATGCTCATCGGCGTCCGACAATGTCTGTCATTGAAAGGCGTACCTCAGAAGTACATAAGTCCTTAGAAAGTTCTTTACTCGAACACTACCAGTTGAGTCAGAGCTTATGGCGAACTCTCATCTGATATTGCAACCTCAAGTGGTGTCCGGCAAGACTGTCCACTATTTTCATTTTTGTTTAACTTCATCATAGACCTACTGCTGAAAATAACGTTCTTGTCGTCTGAATTCTCAGGAATTGATCTCCTTCCAGGAGGTCCACTTATCGACTTAGAATACGCAGATAATATAGTCCTGTTTGGTGAAGACACTGGTAAAATGCAGAATCTTTTGGTAGCACTGAGTAACAATGTCTGGATGTTTGGGATGCGTTTCTCCTCTTTTAAATGCCAATTGTTGCTTCAGGACTGATCTGCATTAACACCTGAACTAAGGATAGGGAGTGAAGTAGTCGGATGTGTCGACAACTTCACTTATCTTGGAAGTTTGATCAGGCCTAATGGGTTGGTGTCTGAAGAAATCTCAGCACGGATTCAGAAAGCTCGTTTGGCTTTTGCCGGCTTACGTCACCTATGGCGAAGACGAGATATCTGTCTATCAATTAAGGGACGAGTGTACTGCCCAGCAGTTCGTTCTGTTTTACTTTACGGCTGCGAAACGTGGCCATTAAGATTAGAAGATACTCGTAAGCTACTTGCATTCGACTACAGATGTCTTAGAAATATTGCTCGCATCTGAGGTTAGACGCAGGATATTAGGGAATGATGGTAAATCAGTTGATGAGGTTGTAAACTTCAGCAATGCGCATCCACGATCCAGCACTCGCGAGATTCAAACCCAGGACCAACCAGTCTCGCGCCAGAGCACTTAGCCGGCATTCAACGGTGTTAATGTCGGCGAGACTAAAGAACATGGACGAGCCAATCAGAAGCTTTCGTGGGTTTTCAAGGTCACGGCGCTAAGTTCGGTACCTGATGCTTACGTACGGTCGGTTTACAACGGATTTTAGAGAAAACATGATAATTAAGCGTCTACAAGATAAGTTATCATAAGATTTTGGCGCAAAACTCAATTATACATTTGGACAGAGTTGTGGCATTATAGTTGATGTCAGTTCGTGATGAAAACCGTAAGTATAATTCCTAACCTTAACCATGAACTGTAAATCATTATTTGAATTCTTCACACGGGTTTATGACCCTCATTTAGTCTTAGTTATTACGTTTACACTCTCAGATTCACTCTAGCGTCGCTCAAATGTCGTCCATAATTCATAGTCTCATCTTTAACCCTAATCTTAAACCCTGAACCATACCAACATACCGACAACACTGAAACTATGTGGTCGAGGCTGAAAGAATTTTCGGGACTTTATCATGGTTTCAGAGGTCGGCTACTATGGAGCCACAGGGATGAGTTCCTGTGCCGGATGCACTATGATTTTAGAACTTCTGAACCTATATCTAACCTTGATAAGTTTTTGATTCATGTAAAAGAACACTATCCCCTTTAATTTTTGAGTTTTATATAATATATTTTTACTGTATGCTAACTGTCTTCTGATTGGCTAATATTTCTCAAGGTCATTTAAGATTTGTTCAAAGGTCGTCCATGTTCTTTAGTCCCGCCGTTAATGTCTAACTTCAACTGGTCCACGAAGTTGAGCAACTGTTCACCAATTGTCTTCAGCGAGTTTATATCTCACAACAGACGTGGTTTGAACCCCACTAGTCACTGCTTTTCACGCTTTCAACTATGAAAATCCTAAATCTCCACAAAACCCCTTCTGAGGTTAAAACGTTTATCGACTGAGATGGTTGGGTCACATGTTAAGTATGTCTGAACACCGGTTATCACGACGCGCAATGCCAACCAGTGTCAGAGACGGATGGAAGGAAATTAGGGGCGGCCGAACCAGAACGTGACATCGGTCCTTGAAATCACTAACTTCAGGGCTGAGCCATATTGATAGATGCAGACTACTTGGTTGGAGTCCGCGTTGCTATCGTAACCAGTGGTTGGGGACTCGGGGTGACGTGGCTCAGAATTGATCATAATGCCGTAGATGTATACACTCTTTGTCTTCCCTTAAACTGTGAGATTAAAACTAGTTTATACCTGTTTGTCTACCAAATAATTCTTTTTCCCTGTATCACATCTTTATACGCAATCTTTTCGTATATATAAATCACTACCATGTTGGCTTTCTACATCCAGAATATTTAGTGGAATCATCGTCTATTCCCCTAATTAGTGTGTATAAAGACGGGAGTTTGTCAATCACCTCTTTTTGCATGTAAGGCAAGTATACTTTTGAATCGTGATGCATTCCCTTAACAAGCAGTTAACATAATCACGTTTATCACATGTGATTACGATGTCACCCATGTACTGCTTAAACAGAAATATATTTTGAATTTAGTCTTCAACTAAACTTACCGCATAGGACATAAGCACATCAGCCAGCAATAATTCTAAAGGACTATCAATAAATACGTCATCAACTGGTCAAAAGTGGTCGCCCTCAAAAGTGAATTTTGCGTTGTCAGTACACAACAATAATATTAGGTTAGCCTTTTTCATCATGTTCAAAATTGTAGAAGGGTGCATACCAAGGTTAAATATAAATAACTATGGATGTGTGAAAACCGAAGCTACCGTCGTGCGTTAAAAAAGAGCTACGTATGAAGGCCCAAAACACGCACATGAAGAATGGATTACAGAGACTCATGCGTTGAATATAACGTTGGCGAGCGATACATATTGCAAAATGCTAAAATCGAAAGATTAATTAAGGACAAATTAAAATTAAGCAAGTGATCACAGCTTTATTTGGGAGCTGTAAAGGATAGAAGCATCTGTATGAGCAGAATATAAATCAAACATGCTACAGGATAAATGAGTAATTACATATTCAACCCTATAATGTTTTCCAGCACGATATATTCCCATTGCCAAACCCAGTAATCAAATCAGTGTCAACTATTCCATTATGGTTTGAAAAATAGAAATCGGACTGTTGTAATTTTAATGTGAATTATGCATTATTATATCTAACGCATGGATATGAAATAGAAGGGTAGTTTGGCTCTTACGGATTCTAGACGTAACGCACAGGCCGGGTCTGGCGCCTTAGGTTCAAGTAGTTGAGGACGGAATAGAAGAAGCTTTCGCTTAACGGGCTTCCGTGTCTGATAGCAGTGGATTACCAATACCTCCAGGCAAAAACCTAGGTATATTAACGACAATGGAGGAAAAAATGAATTTGGTAAGTCGTAAGAAGTTATCCTTAGTCCTTCAGAATAAGTCAAGTTTCCTCTTTAAGGACTCCTGGGAAGTCGCTTGGACTAGCTCAGTCGGTAGCGAATTCCAGCATTTGACAACTCTTACGGAGTAGAAGTTGTGTCTGCAGTCTGTTCTGCTATGTGGGGTCTCCAGTTTCAGGGGATGACCAGAAGTATTAAGGATAATGTAAGTCATAAGGTCACCTCTAAGACGCCTGTACTCTAACGGATAAAGGTTAAGTGATTGGAGGCGCTCTTCATAAAGCTTGAACTTGAGTCCCCGAATTGATTTCGTGGCTCGACGTTGGATACGTTCCAGAGTGTCCTTATTCTTTTGGAGGGAGGGAGGAAATACTGTGTTTCCGTACTCTAAATGGGGACGAATAAAACTGTTGAAGATTATGTGGAAGGTTCTACCATCAAACTGGCCAAAAATGCGCTTCAATGTCACCAGTGCATGGTTTACTTGAAAGGCGTTTTTGTCACAGTTCGCATACGACTTAATGTCGTAGGGTACCAACACTCCTAAATATTTTTCAACTTGGGAAACTTCTAGAGAGGAGTTGCCTAAGTTATAACTATGGTCTGCAACATGTCGCAGATGGACTACTTTGCACTTTGAAGTGTTGAATGTAAGTCCGTTGTCGTCTGCCCAACTTTGAAGTCGAGTCAGATCCTCCTGAAGTACTAGTATATCCTTATGGTTATGTATCTCTCTTCAAAGTTTCACATCATCAGTAAAAAGCAATAAGTCAGATGAAACTTGTTGGGGAAGATCGTTAATGTAAACCAAGAAAAGAAGAGGTCCTAGTATTGAGCCCTGGGGGACCCCACTAGGACATTCCATAGTCTGAGAGAGAGTGAAGTTAACCCTGACCTTAAAATGTCGATTTTCTAGATATGAAGTGAGCCAGTCAATCAAAAGGGATTCGATACCCAATCGTCTAAGCTTATTGATAAGACATGCATGGTTGACCCTATCAAAAGCTTTTGAGAAATCCAGGTAGATGACTCCAACCTTCCCCTTGCGATCAAGGATGGTTGTCCATCTATCCACCGCAGTCAGCAGGTTGGTCATACAAGAATGACCTCTTCTGAAACCATGCTGTTGAGGTGAGAAGAACTTTAAGGATGGTAATTATTCTAGTATACCATCGTATATTAGAGGTTCAATAATTTTAGAAGGTATGGAGAGAAGGGCCACTGGTCGGTAGCTTGAGGGTTCACTGCGTCGACCTCCTTTGAAAATTAGTGTGATGTGAGCCAGCTTCTAAATTTCCGGTAGTTTGCCTCTACTAAGCGATTGTGCAAACATCACGCTAAGTGGGGTTGACAGGATTGAAGCTACTTCCCTCAATACAACAGAATAAACCATGTCTGGACCGGGATAAGTGTTTTTTCTTAGGTGCTGCAGTTTACGGAGTACCAGGTCAGCACTCAGGTCCACTTCGGAAAGTCCTGTACAGATGCAGGTGAAGCTTTCGTCAGTATAGTTGATGTGGGTCAGCTGGAATGTCCGGGAGTATTGTTCAGCCAAGAGGTTTGCGGCATCACCGTCGTTATTGGTCGGGCCATTAGGACCTAGCAGTTGGGAAACTCCAGTTTTGCCTTGTCGAAGAGAAGCTGCGTACTGAATAAGCTTTTCGGATTGGAGACGAATTTATCGATAAGCTTGGTCTGGTACTGAAGCCTGTCTTCTCTTATTGCCTTTAAACATATGTTCCTTATGTGTTTGTGTTGCCTGTATGCGTCATTATTGTCGGTTCGTTTATATTCGGCCCCACAATGCCTTTTGCTGCTTAACAAACTACGAGTACGGTTCTTGATGATTGGAAGTTGTTTGTAGCTTTTTGGGATCTTTTTAGGAACAGAATGCTCAGTAGCACATAAGATCGTGTGCAGTTAAAAA